TTTGGTCGACTGCTTGCGGCTTAGTTAGATATTTACAATAAAACTTGAATATATATACATAAAATGGGCTAATTTCAAAAATCGGAGGCCCCTAATTTTTGGAGGCCCTAGCCACTTATCTAGAGTACGTGCCCTAGCTAAGGTCGTCCCTAGAAGTCCAAAGTTTTTGTATGTTCACCATTACTTGTGTGGATAAGACCTATATTATACAATATATAACTTTGATCATAGGGATCCATTTCTAGTCTAATAGAAGATATATTTTTAAATATTAAATTAGTAACTGTTTGTCCTAGTCTTAAGGCATTTCTTAGTTTGTTATAGGAGTGCTGATAGTGCCTTATATTGTGGAGTTTGTTACTGCAGCTCTTCACTTCTCCTTGTATATATATACACTTGTAATCTACTGAAATTAATCATGAGAATACACCCCACTACAAGAATTTTGATCTAATGTGACAATTTTTTTCGTCATGTAATATTCATTTTTTGTCACTAAAACTTTTATATGACGAATTTTGATCGTCACAGTGATCGTCACCGTAGCTCCGTGGTATTAGGTATATGTGACAAATTTTTGATTCGTCGCCAAATAAATAACATTTAATGACGATTCAGCACTTCGTCATCATTATTAATCACTTTTCGTGACGCCAAATGTGTCACATTTATATCGATTTTTTTGTCATCTAAATATGTATTTTGTCACTAATAATTCGAATAATAAATGACAAAATCATAAATTGTCAACAAAACATAGGATTTAGTGACAAACCTCGATAGATTTTCTAGGTTTTAAATTGTGACGATAACAAAATTAAGTTACTTATTTTTGTCATATTTATACACATTCATCGTTAATTGGAATTACTTTAGTTACAAGTTTTTCGTCACTTTTCAACATTTTATGATAAACATATAATTATATTATACTAGTTTTCAAGCCCGTGCGATGCACGGGCAGTACGTAATTTAGTTAATTTTAAATGTTTTTTTTTTAAATTGGTAGTGGAATAAATTTATATTAATAATTGAAGTTTTTCATTGACACTATAATCTAAGAATAATACTAAATTGATCATTTTAGTTGATTCTAACTGTTTGAAAATATCATTTTATCGCAACATACATCTTAACCCATATAAACGTCTTAATTCAGACAGGACTTAATACAAAAAAGTAAACAATTCTTCAAAATAATTGCAACTTTTCCCTTTAAGGCAATAAATGATATATGGATGGACATTTATACCCTTATTCACGGCACCTCCATTTTGCGGAGTAATACCCTGCGTCTCTTTTGAATTACTTCTTGGCCACCCACCAGTACCCATCGTCTCTCTTCTTTATACTGAATATTTTTCTTCTATCTTTCTTTATTTTCATTTCTACTGCATATGCCATGGATTTGTTACAAGTTTCTCATAATCGATCCTACTTACCTTTCAACAAAACATGACTTCTAATTATTCCTTCATTCTGTTGCTTCCACCAATTTGGAAATTGAGAAAGAAGATTCGAAGAGCAAAGAGGTAAACCGGCTTCCTCCTGTGAATGCTTTCAAGATTCGACGGAAAAGAATAGGTAAATCCAAAAATTTCCTGTGAACGGAGGATAGTATATAGCTCGTTTGATAATAATAAAATTAATATGTGTGCCCAACCTCTATGTTGCAATTAATTTGGAACGGAGGATAGTATATAGCTCGTTTAATAATAATAAAATTGATCGAATTGACTGATTATGTTGAAATTGATTAAGTTCTGTCTGAATGGGATACATCATTGTTTTATAATTTTTAATAGTGAGATAAGTGAAATAAATAAAAATGATATTGAAATCTGAGATAAGTGAATAAGTAGAGATGTGAAATAAAAAATTGAACTATGAATAATAAAAGATTAAACAACATGTATACAGACCATTTTGGAAACTCTTCTTATACTTACTTTCTATGTCCTAGGCAAGTTTGAGAAGACTTCCCTGTAAACAATGTTTCGGGTGTGCCTTTTGTATTGTTGGTTGGAATCATCGATGAAGAAGTGTAATCCTTCTGGGGAAGTTGTTCGAGATGCAGCCACATACAATTGGCCGTGACTGAAAACGGGTTTTGGCAGGTAGATTCCCACGTGTTTGAGAGATTGTCCTTGGCTTTTGTTTATTGTCATGGCATAACATGGCTTCAATGGATATTGTCTTCTCTTAAGTACAAATGGTATTTTAGTGTCCGTTGATGTCATCACGATTCTTGGTATGGGCATGGTGTTGCCTTGTTTTGACCCTGTAATAATTCTTGCTTCAATTACAAATTTTCCGAGGCGTGTAATAGTGAGGCGAGTTCCGTTGCATAGGCCTTGTGATGGGTTGATATTTCTTAAGAGCATGACCGGCATTTCTTCTTTTAACTTTAGTTCATGATGAGGCAAACCTTGCAAGGTCAGGCTGTTCAAATACTCTGTAGGATAGGCTGCCATCTGGTCATCTGTCTCTTTTGATGAAGAGCAAATTTCATCACAACTTTTATAGACAGTCTCTTTTCCGGGCAATAGACCCATCACATAGTCATTTATGGAGTCTGCAGTTTCATTCAAGGGAGTGAGTATCGCTCTTTCCCTAAGATATTGTTCATCACTCATGTTGTTTTGGAAATCTGGATATATAGTATTCACAGTCATTTCAATATCCAGTGCCCCTGTATGTGCTATTAATTCATCCGGTATACTAACCCAAGTCTCCTCTGACTCATTATCCTCAGATTTGGCTTCGAGTGATCCCTCACCCAATGATAATAGCCAGTCATTGAACTTTTTATTGCGGTGTCTTTTATCTCCAGACTCGTCATCTTCTGAAACTCTCATGCTTTTCTTTAGGGTGATTACGTTACAGTCATTCCATATGTATGACCTATTTATTGATGCTTGGACTGTGTCTTGTCTACCGCCTTTGGTTACAATTGGAAGCACCTGCCGAAAATCTCCTCCAAGCAAGACAACCTTTCCTCCGAATAATTTCTCTGCAGCTTCAGGTTTATGATATCCAATGATGTCCTTCATAGTACGATCTAATGCTTCAAAAGCAAACCTGTGATCCATCGGGGCTTCATCCCATATAATCAATGATGTTTTAAATAGAAGCTCTGCAAGTTGTGATTTTTGTTTTATATTGCAAGTTGAAGTTTCATTAAGATCGATTGGTATTTCAAACCGGCTATGAGCTGTCCTTCCTCCAGGAAGTAGCAGTGCAGCAATACCTTGGATATGAATAAAACCAAAAAACTGTAAGTTGGAGTATTTTATAATAATATCATTTGTCCAAAGATTTGAAATGCAATTTGGTGAGAGATAAAATAAAATACTATAAAACTATAGTGTTATTATAGTATTTTGTAATAATGCTATAAAACCGATATCTTACTATAATACTGTAAGATGAAAACTTTAGATAAAATATTAATGTGATATTGTATTTTATTTGAAACATTATAATGAATTATATATGCTTCATAGAAATACCTGATGATGCGACATTTAAAACAATCTTGCGGTTTGATCGGAGTTTTGCTGATATCATGCCATATAAGAATGTCTTTCCAGTTCCTCCGTGTCCGTACACAAAAAATGTCTCTCCTGTGTCGTTTTCTACTGCTGCAATTACTTTTTCATAGACTGCTAACTGATTATTATTGAGTTTGCTGAGTTTCTCTTCACACTCAAGAAAGAGCTGCCTTATGTCATAAATAATCCCAACATTTAATTTTTACGCTTAATTTCTATTTAAAATTCATTTGTTATAGGAGGTAATATTTTTTACTCTTTTTAGTAACTTTTAGTTCCACCTCATTTACTCTTTTTTACTCAATTACAATCAGGCATTTTCACTTTATTTTCACTTTCTTAACCTCCGACCCAAATCCAACCGGAAAAATTTTTATGGGACGGAGAGAGTAATGTATTTCTTCTCCTTTAAACAAATAGGAAAAATTGAAAATAATAATCTCAACTATTGCCGGTCCGCTAACAATAATCTCAAATATTGATTATTTTTGTATAATCCCAACTATATGGACAGTCCGCCAAAAATGGTCCATGACCAAATATTACCTCCTATAACAAATGAATTTTAAATAGAAATTAAGCGTAAAAATTAAATGTTGGGATTATTTATAAGGATTACTTGCTATATCTCTTCTCATCTACTTCAAAAATTACATGATTTTTTTTACAGGGATCATTATTGGCGGAAGGTCCCTAAAGTTGGGATTATTCTGAAATAATCGATAGTAGATATTATTAGAAGCGGACCGCCTATAGTTGGGATTATTACAATGAATTTTTTCCAAAAAAATAATGTATTCCTCGATATAAAAAAAACACAAATCAAGTAAAAGCATTTAGGATGTTTTTATTTGGACTTATTTAAGTCTCAGACCAGATCAGACCAAATCAAATCAGGCAGATCAAATCAGGCAAATCGGATTAGATCTAATTAGACTAGACCATATCAAGAATAAAATCTATCTCTAATCGAGATTAGGAATAAAATCTATTTCTAATCAAGACTAGAAATAATATCTATTTCTAATCTTATTCGTACTTATAGTAATGATTTACATTTAAGTTTGTTTCCAGTTTAAAACTACCTTACTAATAAAAATAGATTCCTGCGAACATTAATAGAAGTTATTAGATGTGAGGCTACTGCAAGATGTAAATAATTACTCTAAATACTCCACATATCAATATATATATATACTACGTAGTCCATCACAGACCTGTGGAATTGAAAAAAATGTCTCAAACAGCATCACAAATTGAGCTCTGCCGCACAACTAGAAAAAGACGTAGACAAATAATTTTGGAGAAGAGAGAAAGAAGAAGATCGGATGGAAACAGAGATACACATAATAGAGGTTAACAGTGCTTCTTCATTTAAGATAGACAAAAAGAACAAACACACTACGTACATGCTATATGAATTAAAGAATACTCATCTTTTCCATCATGATGACAAATATTCTAGAACCAGGAAGCTTCTGCTCATAGCCATTAATGCCTAAAAATGTACGGAGTATGTAACCAATGACACTCAATTTATTATGTTCAGAAAATAACTTTTACCCAGTGGAAAAGACCTTTAGTCATACCTTCTTTACATACCTTCATTGTTTATCTTTGGTTTTATCTGCCAATGGCAGATCATATTGTGCACATAAGATCATAGGATGTACGCACCAACCAAGATAGATTGAGATAATAGACAACAATTGAAAAAATGATAGATTTTGTGAATTGTTCCAGGTACAAGACATACATATCTCAGCTTGGGAGAACCAGAATACAAGTGCACAAATTGTGGCGCAATTATGTGGTACGATGAGAGAGTTAAAAGCACAAGTACCCGGAGCAACATAAGATTCAATTTGTGTTGTTATGAGGGTAAGGTCCGATTGCCTAGATTGAAAGATCCACCAGAATTCCTGGAAAAAATATATCAAAGTGATGAAAAAAGTGCTGTTGCATTTAGGCAACACATCCGTATATATAATTCCTATTTTGCATTCACTTCAATGGGGGCTAAGATTGACAATACAGTGAATACAACCCCGGGACCATACGTTTTCAGAATAAGTGGTCAAAATCATCACCTTATAGGTTCTCTATTACCTGCTGAAGAACATCCCCCGTCTTTTGCGCAGCTATACATATATGATAGTGCTTCAGATATCTCTTTTAAAGAAAAGGCAGTACGCAAGCATGAATGGAGCCCTGAAGTAGACCGAAAAATTCTTTACGGTTTAAGGAAAATGTTGTATGAGGTTAACCCTCTAGCCCAAACATTTAAGATGGCACAACAAAGAATGATGCATCAGAAGAATATCAATTTATCCATTAAATTAATTGGAACGAGATGCAATAACTCTAAGCAATATAATAGCCCTACAACATCTGAGGTGGCTGCTCTCATTGTAGGAGACATTGGAGATAAGAACAGTGGAAGAGACATCATAATTGAGCACAAAACTGAAGGTCTCAAGAGAATTAGTGAGCTACATCCAAGCTTCATGGCATTACAATATCCCCTCCTATTCCCATATGGGGAAGACAGCTACTATGTAGGCATAGAATATCAGGAGAGGACGCAAACAAACAAAGGCAAAAATAAATTTGTAACAATGAGAGAATACTACGCATACAGGCTCCAACAAAGAGAAAACGAAGGTAAATGTCTACTGCAAGGAGGTCGTTTGTTCCTCCAGTTCATAGTGGACTGCTATTGTGCTATAGAAGCTGAGAGGTTGAATTTCATTAGAAATAATCAGGCGTCTTTGAGACGTGATTTGTACAATAACATATGTGACGCAATTCTTAAAGGAGACTCATCAGGTGCATCAGTAGGAAAGAGGATTCTACTTCCATCATCATTCACTGGAGGACCAAGATACATGCAACAAAATTTCCAAGATGCAATGGCAATTTGTAGATGGTATGGAAACCCACATCTTTTCATTACATTCACAGCAAATCCAAAGTGGCCAGAAGTGGAATCGATGCTAAAAGAACAAAAGGCAGAGGATAGACCTGATATCACTTCAAGAGTATTTAAACTCAAACTTAAACAGCTAATGAAAGTCCTCAAAGAAGACCATTACTTTGGAACCGATATTGCAGGTAAACACATATTCATAGGTTTTTTACATACTAAAAGATATTTATCAATTTTTTATTATTTATTTGTCACAGATGTTTGCACAATAGAGTTTCAAAAAAGAGGCTTACCCCATGCACACATCTTGCTATGGCTCCAACAAGACGAGGTGCAATTTTCTCCTCAATACATTGATACCATCATCACTGCAGAGATACCAGATGAAAGAAAAGACTTTGAATTATATGAGGTGGTCTCCAGATGCATGATTCATGGTCCATGCGGCTATGCAAATCCAAAATGCCCGTGCATGATCGATAAAAAATGCAGTAAGAACTTTCCTAAAGCATTTAATGATGACACAACTTTTGACAAGAATGGGTACCCTGTGTATAGACGCAGGAAAGATGACAGGTATATAAAGAACCACACCTCAACACCACCATTCTATAACTTTATTTGTTAAATGTCGATATAAAATGTCCAATGTTGTAACTACAAGTTTTCATGCTAATTTTACAAAAAAAAAACTTTCAGGTTCATTATGAAGGGTGAACATAAGTTGGATAATAGGTCTGTTGTGCCATACAACCCCGGATTGCTTTTGATGTTTGATGCTCATATCAACGTTGAATGGTGCAGTACCAGTCGTGCCATAAAATACCTATTCAAGTATATTTCGAAAGGCCCAGATCGAGCCACAATGGTTATTGGGGATGAACAACTTGATGAAATCAAGTCATATTTAGATTGTAGATATGTTTCATCATGTGAAGCATCCTGGAGAATCTTTGAGTTTGATATACAAGAAAGAAACCCCTCAGTCATGCGCCTACCTGTACATTTAGAAGGAGAGCAGTCAATTGTTTTGAAAGACGGGGACAATCTGAATGTTGTGAAGGACATAGATAAAAATCAAGAGACAATGCTAACAGCATGGATGGCTGCGAATACCGCTTATCCCGAGGCAAGTGACCTAACCTATGCACAATTCCCAACTGCATTTGTATGGAACAAGGGGTGGCAGAAGAGGAAGAAAGTGAAATCCATTGGAAGAATAACATATGTTCACCCAGCTGCAGGGGAAAGGTATTATCTTAGAATGTTGTTGAACATAGTTAAGGGGCCCAAGAGCTTTGAAGATATTCGGACAGTTGAAGGGCACACATATTCTTCTTATAAGGAAGCATGCTATGTTCTCGGACTCCTAAATGATGACAAAGAATGGCATCATGCTATTCAAGAAGCTAGCCACTGGGCAATGGCTTCCCAACTACGAGAACTTTTTGTCACAATTTTGTTGTTTTGTGAAGTTACAAATGTAACCACTTTTTGGGAGTCCAGCTACAATGACCTTTCAGAGGACATACTACTGAAGAAAAGAAAACTATTCAAACATCCTGATCTCATTCTCACAGAAGAGCAGATGAAGACATACACGTTGTTAGAGATTGATAGGATTTTAATGAAATTTGGGAAATCATTGGCAGAAATCAAAACAATGCCACAACCAAGTTTTAAAGATGTAGAGCTCATGGATAACAAACTCATTAGAGAAGAACATAACTATGACATAAGGCAGCTCTTTCTTGAGTGTGAAGAGAAACTCAGCAAACTCAATAATAATCAGTTAGCAGTCTATGAAAAAGTAATTGCAGCAGTAGAAAACGACACAGGAGAGACATTTTTTGTGTACGGACACGGAGGAACTGGAAAGACATTCTTATATGGCATGATATCAGCAAAACTCCGATCAAACCGCAAGATTGTTTTAAATGTCGCATCATCAGGTATTTCTATGAAGCATATATAATTCATTATAATGTTTCAAATAAAATACAATATCACATTAATATTTTATCTAAAGTTTTCATCTTACAGTATTATAGTAAGATATCGGTTTTATAGCATTATTACAAAATACTATAATAACACTATAGTTTTATAGTATTTTATTTTATCTCTCACCAAATTGCATTTCAAATCTTTGGACAAATGATATTATTATAAAATACTCCAACTTACAGTTTTTTGGTTTTATTCATATCCAAGGTATTGCTGCACTGCTACTTCCTGGAGGAAGGACAGCTCATAGCCGGTTTGAAATACCAATCGATCTTAATGAAACTTCAACTTGCAATATAAAACAAAAATCACAACTTGCAGAGCTTCTATTTAAAACATCATTGATTATATGGGATGAAGCCCCGATGGATCACAGGTTTGCTTTTGAAGCATTAGATCGTACTATGAAGGACATCATTGGATATCATAAACCTGAAGCTGCAGAGAAATTATTCGGAGGAAAGGTTGTCTTGCTTGGAGGAGATTTTCGGCAGGTGCTTCCAATTGTAACCAAAGGCGGTAGACAAGACACAGTCCAAGCATCAATAAATAGGTCATACATATGGAATGACTGTAACGTAATCACCCTAAAGAAAAGCATGAGAGTTTCAGAAGATGACGAGTCTGGAGATAAAAGACACCGCAATAAAAAGTTCAATGACTGGCTATTATCATTGGGTGAGGGATCACTCGAAGCCAAATCTGAGGATAATGAGTCAGAGGAGACTTGGGTTAGTATACCGGATGAATTAATAGCACATACAGGGGCACTGGATATTGAAATGACTGTGAATACTATATATCCAGATTTCCAAAACAACATGAGTGATGAACAATATCTTAGGGAAAGAGCGATACTCACTCCCTTGAATGAAACTGCAGACTCCATAAATGACTATGTGATGGGTCTATTGCCCGGAAAAGAGACTGTCTATAAAAGTTGTGATGAAATTTGCTCTTCATCAAAAGAGACAGATGACCAGATGGCAGCCTATCCTACAGAGTATTTGAACAGCCTGACCTTGCAAGGTTTGCCTCATCATGAACTAAAGTTAAAAGAAGAAATGCCGGTCATGCTCTTAAGAAATATCAACCCATCACAAGGCCTATGCAACGGAACTCGCCTCACTATTACACGCCTCGGAAAATTTGTAATTGAAGCAAGAATTATTACAGGGTCAAAACAAGGCAACACCATGCCCATACCAAGAATCGTGATGACATCAACGGACACTAAAATACCATTTGTACTTAAGAGAAGACAATATCCATTGAAGCCATGTTATGCCATGACAATAAACAAAAGCCAAGGACAATCTCTCAAACACGTGGGAATCTACCTGCCAAAACCCGTTTTCAGTCACGGCCAATTGTATGTGGCTGCATCTCGAACAACTTCCCCAGAAGGATTACACTTCTTCATCGATGATTCCAACCAACAATACAAAAGGCACACCCGAAACATTGTTTACAGGGAAGTCTTCTCAAACTTGCCTAGGACATAGAAAGTAAGTATAAGAAGAGTTTCCAAAATGGTCTGTATACATGTTGTTTAATCTTTTATTATTCATAGTTCAATTTTTTATTTCACATCTCTACTTATTCACTTATCTCAGATTTCAATATCATTTTTATTTATTTCACTTATCTCACTATTAAAAATTATAAAACAATGATGTATCCCATTCAGACAGAACTTAATCAATTTCAACATAATCAGTCAATTCGATCAATTTTATTATTATTAAACGAGCTATATACTATCCTCCGTTCCAAATTAATTGCAACATAGAGGTTGGGCACACATATTAATTTTATTATTATCAAACGAGCTATATACTATCCTCCGTTCACAGGAAATTTTTGGATTTACCTATTCTTTTCCGTCGAATCTTGAAAGCATTCACAGGAGGAAGCCGGTTTACCTCTTTGCTCTTCGAATCTTCTTTCTCAATTTCCAAATTGGTGGAAGCAACAGAATGAAGGAATAATTAGAAGTCATGTTTTGTTGAAAGGTAAGTAGGATCGATTATGAGAAACTTGTAACAAATCCATGGCATATGCAGTAGAAATGAAAATAAAGAAAGATAGAAGAAAAATATTCAGTATAAAGAAGAGAGACGATGGGTACTGGTGGGTGGCCAAGAAGTAATTCAAAAGAGACGCAGGGTATTACTCCGCAAAATGGAGGTGCCGTGAATAAGGGTATAAATGTCCATCCATATATCATTTATTGCCTTAAAGGGAAAAGTTGCAATTATTTTGAAGAATTGTTTACTTTTTTGTATTAAGTCCTGTCTGAATTAAGACGTTTATATGGGTTAAGATGTATGTTGCGATAAAATGATATTTTCAAACAGTTAGAATCAACTAAAATGATCAATTTAGTATTATTCTTAGATTATAGTGTCAATGAAAAACTTCAATTATTAATATAAATTTATTCCACTACCAATTTAAAAAAAAAACATTTAAAATTAACTAAATTACGTACTGCCCGTGCATCGCACGGGCTTGAAAACTAGTATAATATAATTATATGTTTATCATAAAATGTTGAAAAGTGACGAAAAACTTGTAACTAAAGTAATTCCAATTAACGATGAATGTGTATAAATATGACAAAAATAAGTAACTTAATTTTGTTATCGTCACAATTTAAAACCTAGAAAATCTATCGAGGTTTGTCACTAAATCCTATGTTTTGTTGACAATTTATGATTTTGTCATTTATTATTCGAATTATTAGTGACAAAATACATATTTAGATGACAAAAAAATCGATATAAATGTGACACATTTGGCGTCACGAAAAGTGATTAATAATGATGACGAAGTGCTGAATCGTCATTAAATGTTATTTATTTGGCGACGAATCAAAAATTTGTCACATATACCTAATACCACGGAGCTACGGTGACGATCACTGTGACGATCAAAATTCGTCATATAAAAGTTTTAGTGACAAAAAATGAATATTACATGACGAAAAAAATTGTCACATTAGATCAAAATTCTTGTAGTGGGGTGTATTCTCATGATTAATTTCAGTAGATTACAAGTGTATATATATACAAGGAGAAGTGAAGAGCTGCAGTAACAAACTCCACAATATAAGGCACTATCAGCACTCCTATAACAAACTAAGAAATGCCTTAAGACTAGGACAAACAGTTACTAATTTAATATTTAAAAATATATCTTCTATTAGACTAGAAATGGATCCCTATGATCAAAGTTATATATTGTATAATATAGGTCTTATCCACACAAGTAATGGTGAACATACAAAAACTTTGGACTTCTAGGGACGACCTTAGCTAGGGCACGTACTCTAGATAAGTGGCTAGGGCCTCCAAAAATTAGGGGCCTCCGATTTTTGAAATTAGCCCATTTTATGTATATATATTCAAGTTTTATTGTAAATATCTAACTAAGCCGCAAGCAGTCGACCAAACTTCCGTATTCAGACTCCTTCGGGAATCCAAATCGGCATTCCAGGCTTTACGTTTTGCCATCTTTGAGTAAATTTCGTAATAGTATATTATTAAAATATTACTCCGTATTATATTATTTATGTATAATCGGTTGTTTAGTTTTTCTTATTGTTACACTTAGGGGTGTTTGAAACTGATTCTGTTTCTGCTTTTTTTTCATAGCAGAAACAGAATCAAAATTAATTAGTTTTCAGAAGCTGGTCTACCCCACCTTAAAAAAACCAATACTAGAAGTAAATTAGAGCACAACAATCACTTCCACACTCTCACCCAAATACTTCAGCTTCTGCTTCTACTCCATGAATGAGCAGAAGCGACTTTAAGAATCAGATCCAAACAACTCCGTAGTTGGCTAGGGGCCTAGGGCTGTAAGGCCTTTGGACTTGTAATTTATATACGAGTATTCTAGATATATATATACGAGTATTCTAGATATCTTGAAGTATAATAATTGAAATTGTAATTTTTTATTTTGATTTATTGAAATGTTATATACTGATAGTCTTTTATATGCGATTAGATTTAGTAAATTGAATTAACATATATGAACCATAAGCTTATATTTAGTATTATTTTGAATGAAATTTTACTTATGAAAATTTCTTGTTTGGAATTTAGTATTGTTTGGAAAACGAAAATTTTATTTTTTGAATTAAACTTATCTCTCAATTACATAAATCCTTCGCCTCAACAAGTACTAGAAAAGGATTTGGCCATGAAATCACTTTCCGGCTCTATGGATGGGTATGACGTATGTAAGCAGAAAATCTTCTTCCTAGACTCTTTGTATTTTTATCAACTTTGATTTGCATCTTTTGCTTTCGAAGAATCTTGTTAATAGTATATGATGTACTACCTCCGTCGTTAACAAAATACAAGAGTGGCACAGTTAGTAAGAAAAGTGGATTTGCGTGGTTGATATTGAATTGATAAAGTAAGAATAAAGTAAAAATGATTTAGAAACACACAAATTTTACTAAATTTGGCATGAAACAATCTTATTAGGACGAACAAAAAAGAAAGATGAAATAATCTTAGAGGGACAGAAAAAGTATTCCCTCCGTCCCGCTAAGATTGTCTCATTTTACCTTTCCGGGAAGTCCCACTAAGATTGTCTCATACCAAATTTAGTAAAGTTTGTGTGGCTCTAAATCTTCTTACTTTATCAATTTAATATCAACCACACAAACTCACTTTTCTTAATAATCGTGTCACCTTCTCTTGTCCCAATCTTAGTGGGACGGAGGTAGTATTTCATACGGAGTATGCAATTTACTTCTATTCAATTGATATTTTTTTGTATTGTCATTGTGTTAAATAAAACATATTTAAACAAAAATTCTATATGACCGTCTAGGGCCCCATAAATGCTATAGCCGGTCCTATTGCTATTGACCAAATTAGTAACAATATCAATATCCCGAGCAGCTCCTCCTCTCTGCAATAAGCCTGCTACCATGCAATTTCCCAACCCTCAATTACAACAGCTCTTGGATTAGTTGGACACTGGACATGGTAACCTAAGGATGGACTGGGCCCGGGCGGGCCAGCCTGATATTGTTTAGCCCTGGCTCGGTCCGATTTTTCAGGACCCAATACTGGTCCGGTACCTGGACTGGTGGTTATAAGGGGCGGGTTTCGGGCTCGATTTTTTAGGCTTGTCCAAGGCTGGGTCCAAATGCATTTCTTTTAAAATAATAATTAATGGGTGGTACCGACTCGGGCCCGATCCGGTCCCGGTACTGTTTGAGCCCAGACTCATCCCGATTCGCGAGCATACCCGACCCAGTATCGGGCTCCAATTTGCTAGTACTGATACCATCCGAGCCCAGCCCGAGCCCGGCCCAACCCGTGTCCATCCCTAGGGTAACCAAATATCATGCCAAACATTAATTGACACAGTAGGTAAATAAAAGGAAAAGCGAGAAATGGCCAAATATACACTTTTATCATTTCTAATCTATCATTTGAGCCCATTACTAAAAAAGTAATGTGATTTTTGAAAATACTTTTTAAAATACGAGGTTATTTATTTTGGAAATACAATCACTCGAGCCATTTTGACCTACTATAGTAGGTGATTTTTGAAAAAGTAAATTACGAAAGTTAATAAATTTTATAAGAATTCATATAAACATGAAAAAGTAATGTAGTATAGTGACAATATATAAATTCGTAAAAATGAAAGAAAAAAGATTAATAATTTTAAAACCATAAAAAGATTATTCGAATTTTAGCAATTCATTTAGAATTTTACGGAGTATAAATTAAAAAACCTGCTACTGCAAGTTAAAAACCGTAACGGTTAAATGGCTGGATTGAGCTATTTTTTTAAAGTAAGCGTATTTCAATGATGCTTTTTAGTAGAGGGGTTTAAGTGATGTATTAAAACATGTAGAAGGATCTATTTGCTCTTTTCCCGAAAATAAATAATACAAAATGATCGATTTTTACGGAGTGTATAATAAACAAATTCCTTATTTTTAGAAGTACTCCGTACTAGTTATGTAAACTAATTCTGTTTAGTACGGAGTACATAATAGGTGTATTGGGATTCTTGAATTGGTGTACCCAAAATTTGTATACAAATTGTACACTGCTTATGTACATGCATTTTTGCATAAAATCATATCGCTCTTCAATGGAATTGCTTGTGTACACATACAACAAGGGTACAGCTAGTATTTTTCTCGGGAAAGACAAGTCGATTTACAACTAAAGTCCCTAGAATTGCTTTAATTTGAGCCCTGCGCGCTCATATCCAGATGAAAAATTCTCAAAAGTAATTATCATTAATTATCAGAGATATTAGCAGACACTCATTAATAAAGGAGCTCAACCCGTTGAACTGGCAAAGGTTTATTTATATACGAGTAATTAGTAAAGATAATTATGATCTTAATTACTTGCAACTTGATCCGAAGTCATTCCACATTCTCCATGTACGAAGTATTTTAAGTTTGACAATGATTTTTTAAAACAAAAGTTTTAAAATTCATGACATATTGATATTTTATGTTTCAGATTTATAGTTTTCAATTATTGAGATCTTATATCCTTCCGAATCTTTTATTGATAAAAAAAATTATTTTTCAGATAAAATTTCGAGCAAATAATAATTATGATGATGGATTATGTTGACCTATAAAAGCATTTATTTAAAAAACTTTCATAAGATTTTGTAAGGAATATGGACCGACAAATTTATTTATTAATAATATATGAAGTTAAATGTGTTTAATATTGGCTGGAGGTATAAATATGATAATAACCAACACTCGAGGTGTAAATATATTATTTTTGAAAAGTAAGTTTTTTTGCTAACATTTTACTACCTCCGTCCCAAAAAATACGTACCGGTTTGAATTGACACGCTTATTAAGAAAGTGAGAATAAAGTGGAAATGTATGGTTGTGACTTGTGGTTGAGTAAGAAAAAGGTAAATGAATGTGAGCCATACAAAACTTTACAACAAGGAAAATGAGAAGTATTTTTTGAAACGTTCGAAAAAGGAAAGTGCAAAGTATTTTTTGGGGCGGAGTGAGTAAAAAATAAGCTTGAATAAGTAATTTTGATCTAACCTAGAGCTAATAGTAATTATCGTTCAAAACCTTAAGAGCTCCTTTGAATTGGTAATACTGAATTTCTTTGAATCAGCTAATACTGCTTAAATTTATTAAGTTTTGATTGAAGTGTCTGGGCTTGCTGATTTTAATGATTTATGAAAAAATTATTCAATTTTTCTTATTAATAAAATAAAGAAACAATTATATAAAAAATAGCTAAAATGAATATCTACGACAATTTCAGACAATACATTCAGAAAAGTAACCCCAACATTATTTTTTCTTATTTTTATACAATTCAACGCTCAAAATCAAAAGTTACGTCTTTAGTGAAAAATTTGATTGACTGCTAAATCATAAAAGAGGATCCTACGCAAATAGTCTCAAAGGATGTTTTCTTTTGAACTGAGATTTGTTGGTCTGGTATGATCTGGTCTGAACTGGTCTGGTAAACATCGTCTTATTTTATAACTACGAGTGAAAACATCCTAAATCAAAGCAATTCCGCCAATTCGTATAATGTGCCTGGGACGGGGAGAAACAGCCATATGATACAAAGGAAGGGTACTAAGCACATGCTGAATAAGAATGATCCTACCGCCAGGAGAAAGCAACTTATGTTTCCAGCCACAAAGCTTACTATCAATCTTACAAAGAATATGCTCAAAATAGATGTTAAGAGATCTGCCAATAAAAATATTAGAACCCAAATACTTAAAAGGAAAAGCGCCCCTTTTAATTTTAAAAATATTGTCCACAATGGTCCAGGAGTGATTTTTAGCATGTTTAGATATGAGATAGAAGCTTTTCTCCTTGCTAATAAGTTGCCCAGAAAAATTTTCATACTCAAGTATGGTTCGATTCAGGGACTCAAGAGTTCTTTTCTTAGCATTAGAAAAAATAATGAGGTCATCAACAAAGGACATAATATTAATATGAGGCATGCCATGCATAGTACTGTACGGATGAACTCTATCAGATAAAAACATGGTGTTAATTTTCCTGGTTAGGATCTCAGCCACAATAATAAATAGAATAGGGGAGAGGGGGTCACCTTGTTTGACTCCCCTACTAGGTTTGAAAAAACCTTTGGGGGAACCATTGATAAGCACAGAAAACCAAGTAGCGTTGAGATTATTGTAAATAAGGTCAATAAAGTGCGGATGGAAACCAAATTTACGAAGCACATGAGTAATAAAGGACCAAGAGATCCTATCAAACGCTTTCATCATATCAAATTTAAAGATAATATTGTGCCCCCTAATCTTTTTGTTAATGTGGTTAACTAATTCTCTTAGGACCAAAATATTATCAGAAATCTCCTTACCATGTTGAAAAGCAGTTTGCTCAACAGAAATAATTCTCGGTAGAAGAGGGGTTATTCTCATAGTGATTATCTTAGTGAAGATTTTATTAATGAAGTTACTAAGACTGATCGGCCTAAATTGGGAAAACTGGTAAGACTTGGGAGGGTTTTTATGAGAGTACCTTTTATCACAAGAGCTTTCCTATCTATATAACCTACCATATCAAAGTGAGGAAAATTTCTTTGTGAGTTTTTTGAGGCCTCTCTAATAATAGTAATGATGTGGACAGATTCTACATTTCTACCTAAAGTTGTTCAAGGGAAAATGTTGTGAGAATTGAGGTTGCGGGTCTTCCAAACATGGCCCTAGTTGCTGTGCTTTCAGGATTTGCATCTGAGCTTGAACTCTGGCCAATTGACATTCAAGATTGTAAATTTGGTCACATAAAATAGTGATTATTCCAGCACAACCATAAACTGGATCCTTAATCCGACAATGTGCCTCATAGTACAAGGATTCTGCCACGTCTGCTCGCTCATGCTCTTCTACTTGCTGTATTATAAATAAAAAATAAATAAAATGTATAAAACAGTTAATTACATGCATATGGTATATAAAGAAGTTGTTCTATGTTGTATACTAATATGTCGTATACTCCAATTATTAAACACTATGCATCTTCCTAAATGCTTATTGCTTATAGATGATTGAAAGACTTGATAAGAACTTTAGAATTAGGTAACCTACGTAATTATCAAACAGAAGAGAATGTAATTTCGAAAACTTTTCCAAAACACAAATTGTACAGTCTCTTAGTCCATCACATACCTAAGTTGTAATTATTGACATCGAGGGTAACATAAATCGTAATGCCAATTCAATACCAAATTTGTAGGTATCTTCCACCTTCTTTCTTGGAGGTTGCCAAGAGACACCTTAACATGGAGGCACCTTCATGGAAGGAGCTCTCCAACAAATAGGTGTGGGAGAAGATATGGAGATAACTAGGAAGCTTGGATGCAACTTCCTCATGTCTCCAAACCAGCCCTATAAATAGAGTGTTCTATTGTTGTTCATACCATCAGTTTAGAAAGTGAGAAAAGTGTGTGAAGAGTGAAATACACTTAGAGTAGAAGTGTATTGGTGAGGATTGATTTTTTGTAATAGTTGAGTGTGAGAGTTTGCTCCTCCTATTGTAATTCTGTTCTTGATATTGAATAGAAGAATTTTCCAATCCCATCAAGTGGTATCAGAGCGAGGTTGAGTTTTCATACACTGTTTTCTCATTTTCAGATAAATTTCTACAGGTTAGAAAATCGTGATTTTTCAAGTTGCTCGGAATCACGATCTGATCATACCATTAGATTCGTCTCGTCGAGACGAGAAATCTGGTATTTTTTGGCCACCGGAAGAGGCCGTACGCGCCGCCCAAACGCGCCGGAAAACTGCCTGCGTCATCATTGCGTCATCACGCAGTCCAGAGGAAGAAGACGAGCCACGTCAGCCGCCACGGCAGCGCCACGTCAGCCCAAGTAAGCGCCACGTCATCCGCCACGTCATCCGTGCAAGCCATCTCTAGGTGCCACGTCAGCGACACGTCAGCGCCACGTCAGCGACACGTGGCGCCACGTCAGCGCCAGCACAGAGCCAGCTGTTGCCACGTCATCCGCCTGCTGGTCTGCTCACTGGGCTGCTGATTGAACCGGACCGAACCGGTTCGTACTTGTGGAGGCTGGTTCACCCATTTTCGGACCGGTTTTGGACAAGGTCAGATCGGTTCCTACCATTTTCGGCCATTCCGGATCCAACGGTGAGCTCCGTTTGTCCAAATTCGGCTCCGAAAATAAGGTACGAGATATTTTGAGCGTTTTATTATGGATAAATCATCATCGGACACCATGATTGCGCTCACTTCCACAAATTACAATATGTGGAAGCCTCGGATGGAGGATTTGCTAAATTTGAGGGATTTAGCTGATCCTCTTGATAATAATGGCGTGAAACCGGATAAAAAGACGGATGAAGAATGGACAAAAATGAATAGAAAAACTGTCGCACAAATTCGACAGTGGATTGATCATAGTGTGTTCCACCATGTTGCGCAAGAACAAAGTGCTTACACACTATGGGAGAAGCTTGGTAGCATGTATCAAGCAAAAACCGCACGAAATAAGACTTTACTAATGAGGCGATTAGTAAACCACAAATTACGAGGAGGTATTTCGGTGTCAGAACACACCAGTCAATTCCAGGATCTTGTGAATCAGTTGAGCACCACCGGATGGGTTCTCAAAGATGAAGAACAGGCGATACTACTCTTGAGCTCTCTACCTGACAGCTGGGAGACTCTTGTTGTCACTCTCAGCAATTCTGCTCCCAATGGCAAAGTGACTATGCAGATGGTCACAGATGCCCTTATGAATGAAGAAGCCCGAAGAAAAGTAGCCGGGACTGAACAATCATATGCCTTCGTGTCAGAAACCAGCAGACGAGGGGGAGGCAGAAATGGAGGAAGAACTCGAGGTCGAGGTAGAGGCCAAGGTCAAAACAGAGGAAATTCTCAAGTTCGCGGCAGATCACAAGAGAGAGGTATGTCCTTTGAAAACAGTACTTGGTTTGAAGGATATTGCAATTACTGTAGTAATTATGGGCACAGAAAAAGAGATTGTAGAAAGTTTCTACGAGAGCAGCCACAGACGAGTCAAAATACTAGCCAAGATGATGGTGAGACCATGGTTAGTTTGTCATCAGACGTGTGTCTTGTTACACATGGTGAACAAGAATGTTTACACGTAGGTACTCATGATGATGAGTGGGTGATTGATACAGCTGCATCATTTCACGCCACTCCACACCAGAATTTATTCACATCTTATAAGTCCGGGGACTTTGGAGCTGTGAAGATGGGAAACACCAGTTTCTCGAAGATTGTTGGCATTGGTGATGTGCACATAACAACCAATGTCGGATGCGCACTTGTGTTGAAAGATGTTCGACATGTTCCGGATCTTAGATTGAATCTTATCTCCGGTACAGCTCTGGATCAGCAAGGATATCTTAACCGATTCAAAGAAGGTACGTGGAAGTTATCTAAAGGTTCCTTGGTTGTTGCAAGAGGCCATATTTGTGGTACTCTTTATAAAACTCATGCAAAGTTGTGTCATCCAAGTCTTAATGCTGTTGAAGAAGAGATATCACCAAACTTGTGGCACCGGAGGCTAGGCCACTTGAGCGTGAAGGGATTGACAACTCTTGCAAAGAAGGAAGTCATTTCCATGGGCAAAGGTGTTGCCCTAGATCCATGCGAGCACTATCTATTCGGGAAACAACACAAGGTTTCCTTCAGTTCTACCAGGAAGAACCATTCAGAGTTACTCAGTCTTGTACACTCTGATGTATGCGGACCCATTGAAGAGGAGTCACTTGGAGGAAGCAAATATTTCGTGACATTCATTGATGATGCATCACGAAAGGTATGGGCTTATTGTTTGAAGAGTAAGGATCAAGTGTTTGATCGCTTCAAATTATTTCATGCCATGGTAGAAAGAGAAACAGGGAAGAAGCTGAAGTGCCTGCGTTCAGACAATGGAGGAGAGTACACTTCTCGGGAGTTCTCAGCATATTGCGCGGCATATGGAATCAGACATGAGAAGACGGTTCCACGAACTCCACAGCACAATGGTGTAGCCGAAAGAATGAATCGGACCATTATGGAGAAAGTTCGCTGCATGCTGAGTATGGCTAAACTACCTAAGCCATTCTGGGGTGAAGCTTTGCTGACAGCTTGTTATCTTATAAACAGGTCACCTTCTGTTCCTTTAAACTTTGAAGTGCCAGAGAAGAAATGGTCAAGAAGAGATGTTTCTTACTCTCACTTAAAAGTGTTCGGGTGCAAGGCATTTGCACATGTGTCCAAGGAGTTGAGACAGAAGCTGGATCTCAAGTCAAACCCATGCATCTTCATCGGGTTGGTGATGAAGAATTCGGATACCGGTTGTGGGATCCCGAAGTGAAGAAAGTTGTACGAAGCAGAGATGTTGTATTTCATGAAAACGAGTTTCATGGGTGTGTTCCAATAATCCGCCAACAACATACTCCAGAAGACGAAGTGCATGTATCATCAAACATTCCTCTCAGCGACGAGGAGATGCATGATACTACTGAACAAGAGAGTGATGGTTCAGTAGGTGATGATGATACTCACAGTGATGATATTCCTCAGCAGGGGGAGCCTTCATCTGAAGACGAAGCTGAAGGTATTCATGTTCGACGTTCTATGCGAGGCATAGTTCCACAGAGAAAGTATTCCACATCCGAATGGATACTTGTTAGCGAGGGGGAGCCTGCGAGCATTGCAGGAACGAGAGAAATAAAGAAAAAGGTGGAGGGGGAGATTTGTAGGTATCTTCCACCTTCTTTCTTGGAGGTTGCCAAGAGACACCTTAACATGGAGGCACCTTCATGGAAGGAGCTCTCCAACAAGTAGGTGTGGGAGAAGATATGGAGATAACTAGGAAGCTTGGATGCAACTTCCTCATGTCTCCAAACCAGCCCTATAAATAGAGTGTTCTATTGTTGTTCATTTCATCAGTTTAGAAAGTGAGAAAAGTGTGTGAAGAGTGAAATACACTTAGAGTAGAAGTGTATTGGTGAGGATTGGTTTTTTGTAATAGTTGAGTGTGAGAGTTTGCTCCTCCTATTGTAATTCTGTTCTTGATATTGAATAGAAGAATTTTCCAATCCCAACAACAAATGTTGTCTAAATAATGTATAGTGTTCTTTACTCCTCTAAATAACAAGCGTGTTCAATTGATGTATTTTTTTTCTTATTTGACAATGTACGGTGTTATAAATAATAAATGTTGCTTCGATTTTATAAACTTCATTACCAGTTTGATACTCTGTATTTAACATCTTCACTTTGTAATTCTTCTCGTAAACTTATTAAAAAGTTATCTTAATTTGATAAAAGAAACTTTCTATTCAAAAAATAAACACATACGGAGTATATGTGTTGAAGCATTTGTCCCACACCGGAAAGCTATAAAAGAATTAAACACTATATAAGGTTTTGGGCTACTCCTCCTATCAGGTTGACCTTTTAGGATGGAACCCCAAAATCTTAACATGGTATCAGAGCCAATTCCGGTTGTGGTTTGACGGCTTGTTTAATTAGCACCCATGATTAAGGGTAGTTAGTTAAGGGTTTGTTTGGCCCGTTTATACACCCCGATATTGTCCAGCCCGGTTCGGGTTGATGGGGCGTGTTGAAGCATTTGTCCCACACCGGATAGAACCCCAAAATCTTAACAATATGTTTGTTATGACTGAGAAAGTGATAGTTCCTTTATTAATTACTTGTTTTTTGTTTATTTGGTGCACATAGCTCTATAGGTAATTTTGTAATATGTATTTTGGAAAGTGTTCTTATGGTTGATGTATCAACTCCCAAGTGGAATTCTGGCTCTGTCCCTACTATCTACATATTTTGTAATTAATCAATATGCAAAACCTCAAATATGAGTGCACTAATTTCATTTTCCCAATGTGTGTATAGTGGAGGGAAAGAGGGGACCTCGATGCGCTCGTTTAGTGGCCCCGTTCCCGACGATACATTTCTGACTCCACCACTGATATTGTGTGCACCGTGTGGATATATATATATATATATATATATATATATATATATATATATATATATATATATATATATATATATATATATATATATATATATATATATATATATATACTTCGTATATAATACGGAGTATGTATGTAGATGGAAGATGGTAAGGTGTGAGTGTGTGACTATACCTGGAGCATCATTTCAACGTTGCTAGTACCAAAGATTTTGTGAACGAAAGCAAATCTTTGAGGATCATTAGGGGGGAAATATGGCAAAAATATGCAATTTGATGGGCACCTCCTTCTAAGTTGCTTGCAAGCTGCACACCTACCACCACTTATAATCTTTTTTGTTGACGTCTTCTCCATTATTATACAAGTACTTCGTATATCTTTTACGATATCTAGCAACTACCTCAATGAATCTTATGAGACACTCACAAAGATACTTCGTATGATATGATTCTGGGTGTATTTTGGGTTTCAAGATTGAAAAATCTTGTGAAATTCTTTGCTATCTTTGTTTATATGATTGTTATGTTATAAGATTTGGGATATTTATATACGAAGTATATGTTGATGGAGCAGCAGCTAAAAACACCATAACGGCTACTTGATTATTTTCGTTTTCAAGAGTTAGTGGTTTTACTTCTTCAATTAATACTTAATAGTGTATGGCTAATTTGGGGTGTTATTTTTGCAGGAAGGAAAGTTACCGGTAGCATTAACCTGCTATCCAAACATTTGTTATGAATTTAATTCACTTTCTCTTTTATTTTAGTCTAACTTTTTCCATATCCCATTCAATTCGTATACACATATACCTTCCCAGGATAAAAAAGTGTACTTTTACCATTGAGACTAAATTGGGGTTTTTTAAGGTAGATTCTATGATACCCATAAGGTACCATACCTTTGTCCACATGGACCAATCAGAAAGTTGGAGTTAAATTATTTAAGTCTAAATTAAAAATGATATACCTATTTGGACCAATCAAGTGAATGGTAGGTACGGTACTCCATTTTTTAAATGGGTACCGGAGTTCTCACCGTTTATATATGCAAGTATATAGATATTTTAGTTACGTTTCACAAGTAAGCTAAGGTGTTGTTTTCACCGCGTCAAAAACGAAACAAATGGTCTTCAAATAAAACTTAATCTCTAGGATGGACCTTATTGTATACGGAGTATACACATATTAATATATAGAGAAATAATGAAGTTCATTTCTATTATTTTGACAAACTTGTGAAGGAAACCTTAGTGTGATTGAACGGCCCTCTGGGCTAATGTATAAGGCACGTTTGTTTGTATGAATAGAACAAAATCACCAGCTCCTCTTTGGCTTGGTTGGTAAATAAAATGTTACGATTTCAAATCAACACATGTCGACAGTTCGAAGCTGGTAGAAGAGTAAGAGGATAAGAAGAGAAAATAAAGGTATTCCAAAATACCTTTCATCCAAAATACCTTTCTTTATGTAGGTGTTATATGTTTGATACTTGAATATTTGGAGAGAGGAATAAGATCCTATGTCGCATGTCATATGGCAGAGGAGAAAAATATATTTCTAGACTTTTTGTGCACCTTTTTTGTACATTTTTTTTTAAGTGGAAGAAGTTGTTCACATGTATAGACAAGTGTCCGAGGGTGACCAAGGCAAATCTTCCATACTAATTCTAATTTGTATTTCAGAAAGACAATTTCTATTATACCAAATACTTTATCCACATTGGTCAATTAGAACATTACAATTGAATAATTTAAATATAAATAAGTAATGAAATGCTTACTTGAATCAATAAATACGACATTTTCATTTTTTATGACCTTGTTAATTCACCAATGAACAAAAAATATTAGTTTGAATACAAATAAGTTTCATACTCGAAATTATAGTACAACTAAACTAGTTATGTAATACTCCGTATTTCGTATTGTTTTGAAACAAATTAAAGGAAGTTCTCCGTATCTTTTTCATATGAAGAAGTGAAGAAACACATTTTTAAACACTAGTATTCACCCGTGCGTTGCACGGGTACCAAATTATATTGAAGTCATCCCATTTCCCAAGTCAGTTCTATTATTTTGAAAACTTTGTTTAAAGGAGTGTTTGCAGTTGCTTAAAAAAAGCGCTTTTCAGCTTTTGGCTTTAAAAAAGCTGAAAAGAGTGTTCTCAAACGACAGCTTCTGCTTAAATTAATCACCTAAAAGCTAAAAGTTGGAAGCAGGTGAAAGGGTGCTTTAAAATGCTTTTCACTTTTTCTATTACACAAAAAGTACTTATTTTACCAAACAACTAACCTATTTGTACCATTACATATGTTAACTGCAATCTATTTATATTAACTAAGAATATTCCTAGGCCCCCTTCTATGCTTCCACTATGATCTTTTAAAGTTTTTTTTTGCTGAATTATAGGTTAATATTTGTTTGAATCTTTATAAAAGGTTTGAATAAGAGGCTACATTGGCTGTAAATTTATAAAAAGATGGCATCCGTAGAATATGCATTAGAGAACAAAACCTGAGGGCCTATGAAGAATTAATAGACACTTACCATTTGTTGAATAAGCAAAAATATGGTGTCTAAGTATAAATATGAGCCGTTTTAGCTGCCCAAGTTGTCACTCCTCATGTTAAGTTACAAAAATAAGGGCACAAATCATGATGGTTTTGTGACCAAGTAAATAATTTGGATATAAGAATTACAACAGGCCAAGTGGGTAAGAAACGGAAGACCTACAACTAATGGACATACACATTACATACACTTTTAAATTGTACACCAATGTTTAAAAAACATGAGGCTAGTATTTAAGCAAAACTTGTTGCCCTTTACTCTGAGATATTTATTGACCAACTGCTTAATTAAGGGTTCTTGAAAACATATGTGGACACATACCTTACAAAAACCATACGATTACCCGGATTTGCTACGAAAACCATTGCAAGGGTAAGGGGTAGATAACCATGCGATTATCCTGATTTGCTGGAGAGAGCAGTCAATCCAAAATCAGAAACTTTGAGTCTCGAAGCGGTATATGGTATCAAATTCTCTGGCTGCAAAAGCATATCAATCCATAAAGTTATATGTTAGGCATTCTTATTATGTCTCATAAGAATTCAAGAGCAGCGAGTAATTCTTAAGAAATAATTATTATGTTTCATAAGATCCTGGTGGAAGATTCCCCTACTGTGACAATAATCAACCGCTTTTATTAAGTGCTGAAAATATTTCCTTGTGTCATCTTCCTTCATTCGTCCAGGAGTAATGAATTTGGCTAGTGTTCATATTGGAATTAAGAGGAGAACAAATATGCATTCAATTTTATGAAACAACTCAAAACCTATTTATATCTAGACCTCAATTCCCCGGATTTCCGGGAGAGAGCAGTCAATTATTCAAAATCAGAAACTTTAAGTCTCCAAGTGGTATATGGTAGCAAACTCTCTGGCTGCAAAATAAAATCGATCCATAAAGTTATATGTTATGCATTCTTACTATGTTTCATAAGAATGCAAGAGTAGCAAATAATTCATAAGATAAACGTAGTAATTATTATGTTTCATAAGATCCTGGTGGAAGATTCCCCTGCTGTTACCACAATAAAATTATGCTCATAAAATTAAATCTACTACTTGAAAGCTCAACCTTTTTTAAAACAAATGATGCGATCAAGTTAAAAGAAAGCAGTAAATAAAGTAGAGCAGGTTCCACTTATAGAGCTTTTTAGATTTAAAAGACAACAATAGCATAGAAAAAAAGAACACAAAGAAAGCAGAGGCTACTAATAAGGCTACTAATAATTTTAGTTGGTGGTGGATGGGAGACCTACGGCCAGGATGCTAATAAGGTAATGATAATCCATTGAGATGGAGTATAGATTCACTCATAAAGTTGGATACCTGGAAAATAGAAGGAAAGCTCATATACATTGGGATGCCTTGGAATCTTTGAAGTCAGATACTTAGGAGTCTTTGAAGAAGAAATAGATTGAAAGAAATAGCCATCCGTCTTCAGAACAGCGGAGGATATCTGGATAGAATCGGAAATAATGGAATGAGAAAAAAAGTTGGAGATAGCAAGCGTGTGACCAACAGATGTCAAAGGAATTGAAGAACTGTGCTGAAACTCCAAAGAGCCGTGTAGGAGGAGGATGCTCTCAGCGATGCAAGAACTTCTGAAAGCGGAGTCCGAAGTATTAGAAAACGAAGAAGAAGCCGTGTAAGTAGTGATATGATAGAAGCGATAAGTAAATGATAAGGATTTTACAAAAATACCCTAAACAGATAAGCGGGAACTTCACTTAGCTCGATTAATATATATAAAGAATATATAAAGATTTGTAGGCCGTTAGGAGCCCCTAAAATCAGCTAATGAGCTTGAACCCGTGCAGCACTAGTAAGTTTATAATCCTACTTTAATCTTCAATATCTTGCCTAATTGACTTCATAATTTTGTTGGGTGTCCAAATAATTTCTAATAGTAATATTAAGAGAAAAACAGAAAAGTAGGGGGCGGGGGGCATGCCCCCGTTATGTTCGTGCAGAAAAGTAGGGGGCGGGGGACATGCCCCCGTTATGTTCGTGCATGCCTCCACTCCTGCATAAGACTAATAAAAGATGGCGAAACATTATTCAATAGGAAAGTTCCCGAAATAGGACTAAAATAATTTGAAAATTTCAAAATCCAAAATAGGACTAAAATAATTTGAAATTTTCAAAATAGGATTGTCGTGTTTTTTATTTCCAAAATAGGAGTAATTAATGTCAAATTTAGAAAATACTGTCATGTTTGAAGTTTGGTACTGTCAAAACGTGACAGTAATTAGTCTTATTTTGGGAATAAAAACATGGAATTCATATTTTGAAATTTTCAAACCTTTTTAGTCTTATTTGGGGAAAGTTCCCGAAATAGGACTAAAAAGTATGTAATGACTTTGATGAGATTCATTGGAAATGGAAGATAAGAATAATACGTTAGTATTTTTCTTATCTTCCATTTCCAAGGAATCTCATCAAAGTCATTAGATACTTCTCAAAGTTTGGTAAAAGATAATGAAGTTTGTATGGTAGATAAAACTTGTGCATAAGTCACCAAGATGTTTAGAAGGATGAATAATCACAGATTCACAGAAGATTGTAGATCATATATAGACGTGAATGTGTTGTTATAGTTGACGAATCAATATTAAAAGGATGAATTATGTATAAGGCATGATTGTTTGTATAAATAGAACCAATTCGACAAACGGTCACCAGCTCCTCTTTGGCTTGGTTGGTAGGTGAAATGTTTCAATTTCAAATAAACTCAAGTCAAGAGTTCGAAGCTCGTACAAGAGGAAGAGGATAAGAAGAGAAAATAAAGGTATTCTAAAATACCTTTCTTTTTGTGTGTTATATGTTTGATACTTTTTTTGAAAGCTATATGTTTGATACTTGAATATTTGGTCTGATCAACTCTCTCGCCTAGATGAAGTTAAAAACAAGTTAATTTTTGGAATTATTTCACCCCGTCTTTTCCGTATACAGTCATCCAACTTATAATTATTCCAACCTATGTTTTTGGGTCTTGGAGAGAGGAATCAGATCCTATGCCATATGGTAGAGGAGAAAAATATATTTCTACACATTTTTCGTACTCCGTTTTGTACATTTCTATTTAATTTTTAAGAGTGAAACAAGTTGTTTATATACATAAACACGTGTGCGAAAACGTGCACACAAAAAGTGCGCCAAATTATAATCCATTGTAATTTTCACTTTGCGATACATTTTTAAGGGTGATGATAATGGATAAAGGTAAATCTTCCCTACTAATTCTAATTTGTTTAGAAAGACAATTTCTATTTTCCGAAATACCTTAACATTGACAAAAAATATTGTAATTGAATAATTTAAATAGGCTAAAATATGCTTTTCATCCCTGCAATTATAGGGTGTTTTGTTTTAAGTCCCTGCAAAATAAAAAAATTGATATTCATCCCTACAATATCTAATGTTATCTTTTTTAATCCCAGCCCCTAACATCCGTTAAAAAAATCTGACGTGGCCGTTAAACTCCCTGCTGGCTAATCCGATGTCAGCGGCTCCTTAGACCTAGCGATATTATGTTTCCACCTCGTTCTATAATTAAATTAGGGTTAAATAAGATCAATTGACTACACCGTTCCCTGCTTCTCTTCTAAGTTCGGTAAACATCGTCCAGCTTCTCCTTCTCGCCGACTCCTCTTCTTCTTCGCAATTTTCTCCTTCGTCATCGTACACTCATCTTTTCTCACTTCAGGTATAGTTCTTCCATTAATTTTTTTTCTTGATTGCTGAGAATATATACATTCACTTGCTTCCTTTCTCTGTTTAATTTGTTTGTGTGCACGTGCATCCCTATTCTTATATATCATGGCTTTGTTATACTTTCTGTGTGCATATGCATCTCTGGTTTACAGTTGCTATACTTAGCAATCGATGTCTTATTTATTAGATTTTTAGTTATGTTTGTTCTCTAAAAGTGGTTGTAATTAATTTCTGTTATGCATCTATCGAAGAATATTCTTTTATTTGAAGTAAAATTATATATGAATACTTGCTGCAGTTCAACTAGAGCACTATATAATTATATACTCGTATATTTCTTATGGAGTTGCCATTTTTAATGAAGTGCACTACGGGCTTGGCTTATTATGTGATGGTTGTTCCTAAAGCTTAAAATTATTAAAAAAAAATGTATTTATCTATGAACATCTTAATAAGAATGCAATTTACTTACTGGTTTCTAACATTCATTTGACATGTGAATTGTAAGGATGAGTTTTGACGTGATCTTTCACCATGGGGTAGCTTTCTTCGTGAAGATTACATTGGTGGTTTCCAACATGTTGAAAACAAAATTGACATTGATAGGTGGAGTTATTTTGAGGCAATCGGGGTAGTGAAAGAAATAGGATACAATGATGATGTTCTATTGTGGTGGAGAGGCGATGATTCTTTTAAAAGTTTCAAATGTGACAACGACGCTGCAAAGATTTCTGCTTTTGCTTTGAAAAATAACTGCCGGGTTCATATTTACGTCGACTCTTCTACTGCGAACGGAGACCATGATGAGACAGCTTGTGAGGTTGCCGATGAAGGGGATATTGATGACAACGAAGAAGATCTAAATGAGGTTCATTTTGATGATAGTGAAGAGGAAAGGGCATTGGGGCTTGATGATGATTTTATTGATGCAACTGCTCCAGAAGTACATTCTACTATTGAAATCAATGGCCTCAAATGTATACTTCAAACAAAGTCAGCCCAAAGAAGTGGAAAAGAATTCGCACTAAATGAAGATCATCCAAACGACGATGAGGACATACTTAGCCATGATATAGAAGATGATTATCAATCTGAAGAGTTGTATAGTTCTGAGTGTGAGTCAGACTCAGATTCCGAAATGAAGAAGAGTGTAGAAAGGATTTTTCCTGACTTACAACCAAGATTTGGCTCATTCTATTTCTGCTTTGATGGTTGCAAGAGGGGCTTTCTAGGTGCGTGCAGACCTTTTATTGCTGTTGATGGGTGTCATTTAAAAACAAGATATGGTGGTCAACTTCTTATAGCCGTTGGACGGGACCCTAATGATCAATACTTCCCTCTCGCATTTGGAGTGTGTGAAAGTGAGACCAAAGAATCATGGAGGTGGTTTTTGAACTTGCTGTTGGAGGATATTGGACAAGATAAAAGGTGGGTCTTTATTTCCGATCAACAAAAGGTATGCCACGTAGCTATGATTGATTCTTTAAAGCAATATTTGAGTTTAACTACATGTCGCTCTTTAAGAGATTGTGTTGAAAGAAGTTCACTTATCTCATATCATTTATGAAAATATTAGAGCCAAGACTGCTCCACTTACTTTAGAACAATGAAAAAGTTTTACAAAGTTCTGTGTCAAAAGAGCCCATGATTTTTCCTTCCTGTTGTCTATACAATCAAGCATGAAAATTAATTGACATCAAAATAGAAGCCAGTAATACTCACTCTACAAGTTCATTTTTTCTTTCATTTTTCCTAAAATAATCATATGACAAAATTAAACGGTATAGAAGGCAGTAACCTCCATTAACCAGTTCATGTGTGATACTTGAGCTCACAGTTACTGGGAATACATGGATGCGTGTGGGTTTTCTTTTGTTGGTTATTGATATTCCTTTTTCTATTTTGAATGATTGTAGGGTTTGATTTCTGTTTTTAAAGAGCTAAATGACAGTCTGGAGCATAGGTTGTGTTTGAGGCATCTTTATGCTGACTTTAAGAAGAAGTTTGGAGGAGGAACTGCTATGAGAGATTTGATGATGACTGCGGCCAAATCAACTTATTATAGAGGATGGGAAGAACAAATGGAAGCTATAAAGAAGTTAGATATCAAAGCATGGGAGTGGTTGCTAAGTGTCCCAACAAAATTATGGTGTAAGCATGCTTTTTCTTCCTTTCCTAAATGTGATGTTTTGATGAACAACCTTTCTGAAGCTTTTAATAGTACTATATTGGTTGCTAGAGACAAACCAATTGTGACCATGTGTGAGTGGATAAGGACCTACCTGATGAGTAGAATTGCTACACTAAGAGGTAAGTTGAATATGTGGCAACATAGAGTAATGCCAAAACCAAGAAAAAGATTAGATAGAGAGATAGAACATAGTGGAAACTGGCAGCCGACATGGGCAACCGATAGAACATTTGAAGTGGAGCATACTCAATTGGTTCATAGGTTTGTCGTTGATTTACAAAAATTCACGTGTACCTGCAACTCTTGGCAATTAATAGGAATACCATGTAGACATGCCGTTGCCGGAATGTCTTATAGGGGTTACAACCCAGAGGATTATGTTAGTCAGTGTTACACACGGAATATGTATGAATTGTGCTATAGTTACGGTATAAGTCCTATTAATGGACAATCTATGTGGCCAAATGTTGAGTGTGAGGTTATGCTCACTCCCCGATATAAGAGGGGTCTTGGAAGGCCCAAAAAATTGAGGAGGAGAGGACCGGACGAGGATGAAAATGCACCAAAATTGAAGAGGGTTAATACGCATTACCGATGCACAAAGTGTGACAAATTGGGACACAATTCACGAGGTTGCAAAAGTACAATTGTGAGTTTAGCTGCTCAGGCAAGAAAGATAAATTATCCTACGTTTATTTTAATAATTTGATTTCTATAAATATTAATTACAGTTTAATTGATACAGAGAAAGCCCAAAAAAGGAAGCAGTGTTGACGGGGTCGGGGAAATGTCAAATGCTTGAGCAATTTCAAATCGGTGTGGCCAGCCAGCTGCAGATGTTGAATTTATCATGGATTTTACTTTGAGTTTAATTTTTTGGTGTTATTAAAATGTAACAGATCTTATTGATTACTTAGCTCAACATTTATTTTGCTGGGAGTTTTGTTTGATTTTGGTTTAGCCTTCTGGGCACACGTGAACGTTGAAATTATCATTATTTTTTAGTTTCATTTTTTAATATATTTCTTTGCTTTTCTAATGTAACGGAGCTAATGAATTGATTGATTTAACTATTATTGTATTGAGACTTTTTCTTGGTTGTAAGAGCACCGATCTTATATTTAAGAATCAATCAAAGTGAAGGGTGACATAGACGAAAAAATTGTAAAAGAAAATTATATTTAAAAAAAATATACGAATAAAAAAATATACCGATGTGAAACAATATTCATTTCATTTGTAGGGATGAAAGTCTATTTTAACGTTAACTTGCCTAGGTGTCAAATGATGTGGAATTGAATGAAATTAAATGTTTTCATTATGTTGACATGGAAAAGTCACATCAGCGTTTTTAACTGAGGGTCACCATTAAGGATGAAAAAAGATAACGGTGCAAATCACAAGGATGAATATCATTTTTTTATTTTGCAGGGACCTAAAGCAAAACACCCTATAATTGCAAGGATGAAAAACATATTTTAGCATTTTGACAAATCAATGAATTGTCTATGCTTTCCTAGCACTGGTTGATGCAAATTAATTTTATTTATTTTTATTAAGCTTGAAATGAAAGGAATTTAAAGCTGAATGAAGAATGCAAGCCAAGACCAATACAACGTATCTAGCGAACCTTTTGCAGACCTGCATTGACAACAAATCCCACACCGCCGGCAAACTTCTCCATGGCCATGTCGTCCGGCTGGGCCTCTCTTCCGATACTTTTCTGGCAAATCGCATCACCGAGTGCTACTCGAAGTGTGGTCTCACCCAGTCCGCCCGCAACGTTTTTGATCAAATGCCCCATCCTAACATATATTCCTATCATGCTATGTTGGGGGCTCACTGCAAGGCGGGCCAGTTAGATCACGCCACCCAATTGTTTGACAAAATGCCTGAGCGGAATAGTGTATCATGGAACACTATGATCAGTGCTTTAGCCCGAAATGGGTATGAAAGAAAGGCATTGGAGGTTTACTGTATGATGATTTCGGACCGTTTCGAGCCTACCCATATCACCTTTGCGAGCGTTTTGAGTGCTTGTGGTGGACTGAGGGGCATGGAGTTTGGGAGGGGATGCCACGGGTTGGCTGTAAAGTGTGGGTTCGACAAGAATGTGTATGTAGGAAATGCATTGTTAAGTATGTATGTGAAATGCGGCTGTGGTGAGGATGCAATCAAGATCTTTGCGGATTTGCCGGAACACAATGAGGTTTCCTTCACGGCTATGATATCAGGTTTGGTTGACATTGATCAGGTGCAAGAGGCTTTTGACATGTTTAAGTTTATGCAGCGGAGTGGATTCATGATTGATTCCATTTTGTTGTCAAGCTTTCTCAAAGTTTGTGCTAAAAGTGATATCCCTAACTTTTTGTTTGATGACCAAATCAACGCTTGGGAAACTAGTAATGTGCAGGGAAAACAAGTTCACAGCCTTGCTATTAAACTTGGATTTGAAAATGATCTTCGGCTGTGTAACTCATTACTTGACGTGTACGCCAAGAACAAAGATATGGCAAGTGCTGAAGTGATCTTTCAGGGCCTGCCTGAAGCTAGTATTGTTTCTTGGAATATCATGATAGGCGGATTTGGACAGAACTATGAAATAAAAAAAGCTATGGATTACATGGAAAACATGCATAGTTGTGGTTTTGAACCTGATGATGTTACTTACATTAATATGCTAGCAGGTTGTGTCAAATCTGGGGATGTTCAAGCTGGCCGTTTGCTATTTGATAGGATGGCATGCCCAAGTTTAAGCTCATTTAATGCCATCCTATCAGGCTACTCACAGAGTGGGGATCAAAATGAAGCGATTAACCTTTTCAGGAAAATGCAGTTTCAAAATGTGCGACCAGATCGGACCACTTTGGCTATCATGCTCACTTCATGTGCAGAAATATCACTTTTGGAATATGGGAGACAGCTCCATGCTTCTTCTTTCAGAAACGATACTCAAGGTGACATATACGTTGCTAGCAGTCTTATTGGCATGTACTCAAAATGCAGTAGCATAAAGATGGCAACTTTTGTATTTGATAGATTGTCTCAGTTAGATATAGTTTGTTGCAATTCCATGATTTCGGGTTTCAACATCAATTCATTGGACAAAGAAGCTATTTCCTTTTTTAAGCAAATGGTGAAGATGGGAATACCTCCTAGCGAATTCACTTATGCATCTATATTCAGCAGTTGTGCGAAATTGTCTTCTCTATCACTTGGGAAGCAACTTCATGCCATGATAGGTAAAGATGGATATGCAACTGATGTTGTAGTAGGGAGTGCGCTAATCAATATGTATTCTAAATGCGGCGATATAGATGGGGCCCGTCTCTATTTTGACATGATGCCTTGTAAGAACACTATTACTTGGAATGAGATGATACATGGGTATGCACAGAATGGGCAAGGAGAACAAGCTTTTATCTTATACGAATACATGATCCAAACAGGGAATAAGCCAGATGCTGTAACATTCATTACTGTTTTAACTGCTTGTAGTCATTCAGGATTAGTAGATAAGGGGATTAGCATTTTCCACTCGATTCAGAAGGAATATGGAGTGGAGCTCCTTGTTGATCATTACACTTGTATTATTGATTGTTTGGGTCGAGCAGGCCGGTTTAATGAAGTGGACGAGATTTTATATAAGATGCCATTCCACGATGACCCTATTGTGTGGGAGGTATTGCTGAGTACATGTAGGGTTCATTCAAATGTCAGTTTAGCAAGAAGAGCAGCAAACGAGCTTTTGCGGCTGGATCCAGAGAATTCTGCCCCTTATGTTCTTCTAGCCAATATGTATTCATCTTTGGGAAGATGGGATGAATCAAAGGTGGTTAGAGAAAGGATGGTCGAAGAGAATATAGTTAAGGATTCCGGTTTTAGTTGGGTGGAGAAACAGAGTGGATTTGAGGAGAATGAGGTCTCTACTGTGGCTTCCTGAAAATGATAAAATAGGACAATTGAGGTCTATATTGTTCTTCCTGAGAATGATGAAATGGCACAATGTAGAAGGTGTCACATTTGAAGAAAATTGTATTCCAACACCCTAGCTACTGGTGGTAATGTTTTTTCTTGTTTCTTATCGTTATTTTAGATTATTTCTATGATCATGATTTTGATTATCCACTCATTCCTGGTTTTTAGTGGGATATATTGGGGCCAGAGATGTATGGTCTAAATTCTAAATGACGGTCATAGGTGAGGGACGTCTTTAATTTTATTTTGGACTATAACATGGCTCCCTTGAATTATTTCATGGGGGTCTACTGTATCGACTATCGATTATATTCGGGGGAAATACAAGTTGATTTATCCCTTATTAAAGTTCACAAAAGAGTAACTAAATAATAATGGGAAAACTAAAGGACTATAAAACATAATACTACGTACGTAGTATGATATTGCAGTATTATGTAGGGAAAAAGTAACTGAAACATAATTACGAGACTGAAAGTGATTATCTTAACAATTCAAATATCAAACGTACTATTATTCCCGTGTAATTGCAGGATCATAAGTGTTTTCCATTTATGTTTTACAGGAGTCTTTGTAAATTTTTCTTTTGCAGGAAAGGGAAATTCCATAAGCTCAAATGATTCTGGCTGGTCTGTACTCTGTACTCTGATGCCTCTTACTGCTATATTGCCCTCAAGTTACACTTTATGCGTGCTAGCATGGGGCCATCAAATAATCAGTCTTCACGCATGGCGGTTTTAGTTGTGATGCTCATAAATCATAAATTTCATCTGGGTTATGCCATCTTTGAGTTCTGGTTTGCCAATTGCCATTGTCATGCTACTGCTGCTCTTGAATAGTTAAGAACATGGTCCTAGTCCCTGATGGTTTTTAAACCAAATGCCGAACCGGTAGGCCGGTCTTGGATCGGAGCCTGTACTGGTGATCGGGTATTTGCAGTCTAGTAGTTAACGAAATAGGGTAGGAATCAATCAGGAACTGGATACAAAACCCTTGGTTTTACCCAGCCCAATAACAAGTCCGGTAGTACATGTTACAAATTCTAATCAATAGGCTATCATCCCAGATTCCCGGGGAACTAGACTGCTTGAAGTCTTGAACATTGCTGGTCTGGAATCTGAAAGTGTCCATACATACTCAATTGGGTAATGATCTCATTATTAACATTTATAAGGCATAATTTGATTTTTTAGCTTTTTACATGTTTGACTCATGTTTGACTAATATTAGCTCCCTAAATCTTTTGGGGAGAACGCTTGGATGTTGTTGTTGTACATGTTTGACTCATATTTTAAGTATTTCTGTATTACAACCACGTACTAAGGTGCGTTATGCTAGTTGTTACATTATGTTTATTAATATCTGATCTATCTAGAAACCGTACATTCAATTGAATATTTTCTATCGCTTTATTAGTTTATTCCGTATTATGGTTATATATATCACTGTGTTACGCTCATGTTTGGTCATAAAAATATTTCGAAATCAGCCAATGATATACGAGTGCAGGAAAGAATGATACTGCGGCTGTTTTTACACCTAAAAGAATGGCCGGTGATAAAATACCAACCCAAAAGGTGGGTTGCGAAATGAAATTCATTTATCTATTCAAAAACCCAATCCCATCCGAACATTTGCCTTATTTTCTGTTTTCATTAGTCTATTTTATTTTGTGTTTTGATTTTCTATTGAAAAATCTAAGTCGTATTTAATACGGTTTACTATGTAGAAATTAAAATAGGAAAATTCATCTGAAAACAATACCGGTATCTAGTAAGTAGTAAGGATTTAATCTCATAGGGTGTTGCATCTAGGGGTGGACCGGGACCGGTCGGACCGGCCCGGTGCCCGAACTGGACCGCCGCTACCAGACCGGCCGGTTGACTGGGACCAGGACCGGGGGGTTCGGGGGCGGGTCACGGACCTAGGCCTTCTTGGAACCAGCCCAGCCAGTCCGGGCCAAAAGTTTTTTTTTTTTTTGTTTTTTCGAATGGATTGGGGCATTTGGGGGGTAGGCAAGTTAGGCTGGGTGATTTGGGGTGTTTGGGGTGGGGTAGGAACAAACAAGGAAAAAAAATACAACACCCGACCCGACCCGAGTCTGGCCCCAGAACCTACCCGGGCCAGTACCGGGCCTCCACTACCCAAGCCCAGTCCCGCCCAAGACCCGACCCGGACCCAAGCCCGGTCGACCCCTAGTTGCATCTTACTCAATTTTACACCTCGTTGGCCCGTTACTCAATACTGTGACTAGGGGTGGACTCGGGCCGGGCGACCGCCCCGGAACCGACCAGTCCCGGAACCGGCCCGACCCGGTCATTGTTTGAACCGGTCCGAACCGCCGGCCCGGCCAGGGACCGGTCCGGGTAGGCCCGACCCGCTGGGGCTCCGAGCCGGGCTCGGGCACCTCAAAAGGTGAACCGGCCCGGCCAGTTCAGGCCCGGTCCGAGCCAATTTATTTTTTTCTTTTTCTTTTGAATTTTTTTTAAGTTTTTGGGTTGGGTTGGGTATTTTGGGCCATTTGAGGTGGTTTGGGGTGGTTTGGGGGTGAGGGTGAGGGTTGGGGATTAATTAGGAAAAGCCAAAAAAATTAAATTGAACCAAGGCCCGGTCCGGCATGACCCGGGGGTTACCCAGGCTGGTTCCGGGCCTCCCCTTTCATGAACCGAGGTCCGGCCGGGCCCGAACCGACCCGAGTCCACCCCTAACTGTGACATGCATCAATAACGCTAAAATGGTGGTGTTTATGTTATTTAATTTAAGGCTGGTATGGTAAGATAATGACACCTCTAGCCCAATCTAGATTGTTTTCTTTAGGGGTGTTTGGAACTGATTCTTTTTTAAAGTAGAAGCATAATCAGAATCAGTTTTCAGAAGCTGGTCTCTCCCAGCTTCTGAAAAAACTGATTCTAGGAGTAAATTAGAGCACCAAAATCACTTCTGCACTTTCACCCAAACACTTCAACTTCAACTTCTGCTCCATGAAGGAACACAAGCAGTTTTAAGAATCAGATCCAAACACCCCCTTAGTCTATTCAAAAAAATCAACATTATAAAAGCCCTGTGAGAATAAAAGAGAAAATAGACCACTTCGCATCAATAATTCCATAACCAGAATCCATCTACTCCGTTCATCAACACTTCCACTTGTCTTCAATAATAAACGACATAACGTGCAATACTTAAATAAAAAATTAATTAATCACAGCACAAAGAAAAGTTGCTATGAACTATATAACCAACACTTCACAAATGGAAATGACAATGGATCCAAAAAAGACTGCATAACAGACCACTGAACAAACTAGTTTCACTATTTTCCTTGTTCTTCAGAACGCCGGTATGGCATATACCTGTGGTCCTTCGCAGCATTTTTTCGTCTCTTTTTCTCCATATAAGATTCAAGCTTACCGGATTCCTGGTAAATCAAAGCAAGGTTAGTTTCTTAAATTTAATTCATATAGCTGGTTATTGTAGATGCTAGCAACTATTTATAAGATGACTATGTACCTTGAGTTCCTTGTATTTCTCACGAATTTTGAGCTTTTGTATTTCAGCTGCAAGCAAACAAAAAAAAAACTGATCAACATGGCATTTTGTCAAAATTCATATACCAGTACAAATAGTTTTTCCCTTCAAGTTCATATCCGTTCCAGTGTTATTAATTAAGTGGTTGAGGATATAGGTCAAGGTACACCAAGGACAATTTTTCAGTTATTCAGCTCTTAGATTGAGGTTGTTTTGTTGCTTTGGAGAGAGCAAGTCAATGGGACAAAGAAATGTGTTCATGAGCACATACATTTTTTAAGGTAGTATGGTTGCTTCCCTTGTTTTGCAGCCTCTCTCTGTTTTTTCTTGTGTTCAGATAGAATCTGTTTCTCAGTATTCTTCGTCAAAGCAGATTTCAATTGCTTATTCTGTCATGTAAGAAGATAGAAGATATATGTGGGAGAATTTGTATACAGATAATAACACACATGTTTGTATTGCTTGTATATACAAATATATAGTTAATGTCGAGAATATATCAACAAAGTAACAATACAGCAATAAAATGCAAATGCATCAGAATTAGCACTTACAATCCAAGATATACGATTCTTCAGTTCATCAATGACCTTGGGGTCTTTAGTTTTTGTCATTTGTTTCTTTAGATCCTATTAAATATAACAGGAAAATATTAGCAACAGTACATAGATAAGCAAAGATATCCAGAATGAGCCCAAGACCATGCCTCTTTTTCAGCTGGAAGATCTTTTTCATAAAGAAATTTGTATCTCTTCTTGAATCTGCAACAATTACAACAAGAGTAATGAAATGGTAGTGCAATGTGATACCAACGAATTATTTGGTTTGTGGCCACAACTGCTAGCAGTTTCAAAACATCACGTTATGGAAATACAATCAAGAGAATTCACAACTAGTTAGACAAAAGATAAAATGAAAGTTCTAATTATTTTACTTGCACGTGACACAAACACACAGAGCATATAGCAACTTCCCTCATTAAATTGTTAGAAGGGCTTCACACTATGGAAACAACTCTGCACATTAAGTCATATATGGATGTCTGCTAATAATCTGGCCATGGAAACATATAAATAGATGAACTTAACTGGAATACTATGAGGTAAAGCATTAAGGACAATATAAAAAAAAGAATGTCACGGAGAGGTTGTTGGTTGTTGGTATATGAAGCAGGGTCTAGCCAGGGTAAGCTATGAGTCCCACTAGGAAGGGCATAATTCCTAGTGTTATATCATATATGAACTGAATTTGAAGAACGTTCTCCCTCTGGAATACCTGGTAAAGGAGTACCCCTTTTAAAGGCTACAAGGAAACTTTCCTGATTGATGAAATATCAATGAAATAGGATCAGGCCTTACCAATTAGGAAGACAATTTAAATCTATCGCTGGGCAGCTGAGAGGAAGGTCTTGCTCAAAGTTGTTTCTAGCACTATGTCATAATCTCTCCTTCAGAATCTGGATCCATCTAAAGGTATTGTGATGATGTCAATATGTTGGAAATTATTTTTAACAGTTTCCTAAGAGGGAGGTAGCCAAGAGGTAAAAGAGATACAGTCGGCTGTTTGGAATAAATTCTCTTGTCTACCAACGAGGGTGGCTTGAGTTATAGGGCATTGAAATATTTTTTAAAACCCATTCGTTTACAAAAGTTAGCAGAGAATAATGGCACAATGAGTGAAGTCTTGAAGGAAATTTATTTTTCTAAGAAATGCCATCTTTTGGTTTATAATCAAGACTTTTGCCACCTCAATATGAAAACTACTGAAAAAGCAACAGGCAGCCGCAGTTCAAGGAAGTTCATAATTCCTAGTGTTATGCTTTCTTCTGGTTATATCTGTTTCTTGCTTGAGGTACATTCAGAAACTCGCTTCTTGCTGATATCTTATATCTCAAAAAGTACTTACCGGAACGAACTGAAACTTTTCTTGCCCTTCCAAGAGACTTGATTAAGAAGATTGCCGCAATGATTTGTGATAAATCTTCTGGATTGACTCCCTCTGAAAATCTTGAACTTCCTTCATGCATCTCTTTGTTGAATCCTCCTTAATCCTAGTCATATTTCTTTTAACATAGTCTGGCATGACTGGATTGTTGTTGATTCTGTGGTTAAGGCAGACTAGGATGAGTTGAGCTTGTCTCTAAATGTTTTTGTTGCAGCCATGAAGAGACTGTAGAAAGTCGAAAACCTTCTTTAAAGGAAACATTACTCAGAAAATTTAGTTTTTCCTTGGACAGGAATATATAATACAGAGTTAAGAAATTGCTGTCATCCTATGGTTTTCTTTGGCAGTTGTAGTTGCTATGTGAAGGTAGATGTTGGGCTTCCGACTGTGCCAAGCATGCACCTTTAGTTGGTATTTGGTTTCGGAACCTATTTTCCAAACGGAGCAGAACTGAAGATGGCTGGAAACATCAAAGCCGATCTGCTGTGATTTGTAAACTGTTTGATGACCCTTAGCTACAAAGATGACTGGAAACATCAAAGCCGATCTGCTCCATAAAAAGTTGCTGGATGACGCTGGAACTTCGTTTGTACATATGGAGAGAGAAGGAAATTATGTAGTTTGCTTATTAAAGTTTTGTCTAAGTTTGTAACATATGGAAAGACAAAAGTTTTGGAACTACACTTGGACATGATCATGATCAAATCAAAATTCTGGCTGACTCTGACTTAGGAAGAACCCTTGGTCTTGTTTTGACACACGATGGACATTCCTGACATTAGGGGTTGATTTGTATGCTTTGTTATGTGGTTTTGGGGCCCCTGACAGCTATAACCATTTTTACGTATAAACTTCTTTTGTTAAATGGTAATAGTAAAAAGCCACAAAGAGTGTAAAAAATCTTACCCTTCATCATCAAAACTGCCACACAATGACTCAAAGCGAGGATCACGAACAACCTGAATAAAAAAAAATGTAAGATTATTCTCAAAGTATACACACAATTCAAAGGCTCAGACAGGTTGTAGAACAATAAACATAGGTTGTGTTAATTTAACTAGAAAAACTTCAACTGAAAAAAAGCATATAACCTCATCATCATAAACATTGTTGGTGTTAATTATCCCAAGCAAACACACTTCACAATCCCTAAAAAAGCCCCCACCCCCAAGTGGGCACGTCTATTAAGATTTAAGAACAATGACATTGTAATATTGTATGGTTAAACTTAATCTGAAGAGGGAGAAAATATATGAAACACAAACTGTTTCCTTGAAAGTAAAGAGGAATGTTGTTTTGGGATGGATGGAAAAGGAAAGGCATAACCTTGTTTGGGGGCAGAGGGAGTATGCCGCTATACAGGGCATGAATAAGTCACAAATGGTCCGGGTCTACTATCTCAACCCGGGCCCAATACCGCTCAGCCTACTTGCTAGAAGTCTAGAATGGCCCATGTCTAATTAGGCAAGGGATACTACTAATTAACCCAATAGACCTCATCATTTCAGAAGATATGGAAACTTCATGTTGGGATAATATGACATTGGTAAATGACTAAATGTTATGGCCATGTGCACTTAACAGCTCACATCCCACTAAATTTCAATTCCTGCACAAAATGGATACGATAAAGACTAACCTTTTTAGGCACTTGAAGAGCTTCTCTAAACCTGCTAACAGGCTTCTTGCTGCTCATCTCCATCGGCCTTGATTTTTTTTAAAACATAACAAACTTATTTATGAAATAATCTAGATGTCCTAAAACCAATAAATGCAATGAGCATCAAAGTGTGTTTAGGCAACCTGTTTTTGTTCGACCGGCCACCCTTTTTATCCAATGCAGGTTTAATATACATCACCTCAGATCCATCTGACCGTGCCTTCTGCAGCTCCTCAAATGTAACTTCTGCAAGTTCTTTCTCAATCTCTTCCTCTTCCTGCATAATTATTCAAAGCTCCTAAATCTTACGCAGTATATCTACATTAAATGTGCATAAGAAAATAGATTTTGTAAATACAAACAGATTCTTACACTTTCTGAGGAGACCTCATGATCATCGCTGTCGCCATTGTCAAATTTAATTTTGGTTGAAGTTGGAATCCGTAGCTCTGGTGCTTCCTTCATTCTACTACCTTGTATGGCCACTAAATATTTTAATAATTAACCTGCTCAAATTTAGAAAAACGAAAATTAATACGTTACCACAGCTCATAGTCTGATCTTGCCAACACCACAGCTCATAGAGTCTGATCTTGCCAACATTGTCCAATTTTCAAGCATTGAAAAACAGAGTTTTACTGACACTATAGTTTGTATTTATAAAGCTTCAAAATGCCTCTTTTATGTTCTTTTATAAAGCTTCAAAATGCCTCTTTTAGGGCCTGTTTGGATGGAGTGTTGGGACAGGGGCGGATCCAGAAAGTTACAATGGGTGGGCTGAGGTAAAAAAAATTGTAAGACACGTACAAAATAATATGTCATCATTGTCATGTCGTCAACACTTTAAATATTCATCAAAACATCACTTAAGTTGTGCCCTAGGCGACTTCAAAGTATAAAATCCATCAATACTAGAATCTACATCTATATAATTGACAAAATCTCTTTCAAGAGAATCCATTCTAAAAAACATTTTCAATATTGGTATGAATTAAAATACTTCTATAAAAATATAAAATTATAAAACTAATAAGAAAAAACAATTGTTGTACATAAAACTAATAAGTAATCCCAATTTCAAAATTCAATTGAAATTTTCTGTTTTTTCTTACATGTCCACACAATAAGTAAATCATTCTCTACTCTTCAATTGTATAATCAATAAATCATTCTCTAAGATTTAATTCTATCTTTAATCATTATAAATCTATAATAAATTTTTGCCCTGCTTTATTATGCACTGAAAAATTCAACTAATAATTAAATTGATTAACTAACAGGCTAACCCTAACAATCTAAAGGCTAAAAATAATACTCCCTCAATATTTAAAAGTTCCATACACTTTCCTTTTGGGATGTATCTAAAAGCTGCCTACACTTTCATTTTTGGTAAGTTTACCATTTATAAAATACTCAACTACCCTTATTTTATCTACTTTTTCTTGTACACGCTCTCTCCTACTTTTTCTAAAAAAACTCACCCGCGCCAGAGCTGGAAGAAGAGCCGAGAGATGAAGGACGCAGCAGCCTGGTCTCCTGGACGTGCGGGCGGTGCGGCGTGGGCGGCGGAGGGTCGCAGCTTACAGGTTGGAGTGCAGGTCGTCGCAAACTGCCAAGCTCTTGGTTCTGAGATTTTCTTTCTTCCGTTCTTCTTCGCGTTCGGCCAATTGGAGCGCAGGTAAGTTATAAGTCGAGCTGTGGGTTGGGAATTAATTTTGGGCTGATAACAAAACCTATACATATGGTTTTGGGGTGGGCTAATAATAAAAGTGGAAATTACTCATATGGTTCATTTTTATGCCCCATATATCATTTATGTCCCCATTACTTCTTCTTTCCATTTTCCATTTTCCTACGGTCCTACCCTTCCAACGACAATCTCCCGCCAGATTTCGATGGGAGAGAACTCGATGCTGCTACTCCCGTAATTGACTCCAACGAGGTTCGCATCCATCATTGTCGTACACTGTTTTGGTAATTGACTCTTCATAGTTGATTTCTCTTCCAACTGATGAAAAATTATGATCCATGTGAGATATATATCAGAATATTCAATAAACTATGAACTATAGTATACAAGTTGAATTCAATCATTGTTGGCTTGAGAATTGAAAATTTGAAAACATGACTCATTCGGGTGATGCTGATTGTCCACTAGTGTTAATGTGTTACATGGTAGTAGATGATAGATAAATAGGGTAGGATAAATTGCTTTGAGCTTTGGCTTCTCTGTGTAGATGCTTGCTAAGTGCAAACAAGTCGCTTGCTAAGTGCAAACAAGTCTGCCTGTCAAGCAAAAATTGATTTGCTTAGAGTGTTTGCTATTTTTATTGGCCATTCTATGCCATCTTTTGAATTGATCCATGGTTCATCACCTTATTCCACCCTAATGCAATCTGATTTGTTTGCATGTAAAAATCTTGATTTGTTGCTCTTTGTTGCAATATATATGTTGCTTTTTGTTGCTCTGTGTTGCATTTTGTTGCATTGTGTTGCATCTTATTCCTTACTATTGAATTTGATTTTTATTGTTACTTTGATTTATATGTATAATGTGTTACTTATTTGGAATAAAAATGCATACTCCGTATATAAGTATATACACACACACCTAAGTGGAGAGAGGCGTCTTGATAAACGCCGATCTCAATTTCTCACGCATTTCATTTTATTTCTTCTGCAATTTTGAAATGTCTGTTTTTTTATCTCAACATCGGTCAAGATGGTATCCAGGTCGGAAATGTTTGCTGGGAACTTTACTGCCTCGAGCATGGTATTCAGTCCAATGGCAATATGCCTAGTCATAAGACATTTGGAGGAGGTGATGATGCATTAAACACCTTCTTTAGTGAAACTGGAGCTGGCAAGCATGTCCCGCATGTTTTGTTTCTAGATCTGGAGCAGACTGTCAGCCTGCAGCTCATCAGCGGTAAGGAGAATGCTGCCAACAACTTTGCCCGTGTTCATTATACCATTGGGAAAGAGATTGTTGACCTCTGCCTGGATCGCATCCGCAAACTTGCCGATAAATGCAATGTCTGCAAGGGTTCCTGGTTTTCGATGCAGTGGGTGGAGGCACTGACTCATGTCTTGGATCTCTTCTGCTGGAACGTCTCTTTATAGACTATGGAAAGAAATTCAAACTTGGTTTTAGCATTTACTACTTCCGTCCCAAATTGTTTTGCAAAGTCAACACTTTTTGGTCAACCAATAATAAAAGTCAATCCTCTTTATCGTGAATTAACTCAATTTTTAATAATTAAAATTTACATATTCAGAAACTACATTAAAAACTCTGTAAAGTTGCAGACTTCAAATTAGAAAATAATTAAAAATTAACATCCTAATTAAGCAAATAAAGTGAAACTGTTTGACCAAGAAAAGTCAAATTTGCAAATAAATTTGGGACAGAGATAGTATCTTTTACCCCAGGTCTCCACTTTAGTGGTTGAGCCATACAATAGTATCCTCTCCACACACACTCTTCTCGAGCACACACGCTTGGTAGCGCCTCCAGACGTAGTCATGCGTGGCGAAGTGGGTTACCAAATTTCGTGTGTTCTTTATATTGTTATTCGTGTTGAGTGCGTTTATTGCTAACAAGTACTCCGTATAAATTTAATGGGCCAGTTTGGTTGGAAGATTTTGGAGGTAAAGAGAGGGACTGATTGATTTTTTATTTTACTAATTTATCTGAATTTGTTAGTTTTATATACAATTATATGATCAGTTTGATCATGTATTTTTATATACAATTTTATCTTACTTAATTTTAATTTTTTCTAAATGTAAAAATTATTTAAAATTATACTTGGGTATATGATCCATCCATGGCGTTCCATGTCTTATGAAATTTATAATGGTTCTTTTATTCCCATTTCTATTTTTAAAACAATCGTTCTTTAACAAATCAAAGCATGATTGGTTCATAGTTTAATTTTCGGCCTTTTTTTAAATATTACTCTTAATATATCAATTGCCATCAAAGTGATTAGAGTTTCAAAAGTCCAACAATATGACTAGCCGTCAGTTACACGTGAACGAAAAAGCAGGGTACAACTAAAAAGGTCGTTAATGAGGTTCATTATTGCTTAAAAATAGGAAAGAGTTTAATTGTTGATATATTATTTCCTTTGTTATACGTAACTGGCTCGCGGAATTGTAGGAGAGGCAGACGTGAGTGACGCATAAACAATTCTCACACAGGCCCCAGCGAGAATAAGATAACGCTGATACGGGCTTCCTGCAATCTTTGTTCTATGCCGCCGATTCAACGTAAAGGTATGTAAAATAAATTTCGTTTTATATGGAAGTAATGACCAGTGCACCTTGGACAAATTTTATTTGTGAAAAGGGCCACCATGTCCGTTAGTGTTCAGTGTTCTTGTAGTCTGCAGAAAATCTAATGTATTATATGAATGGCGGTATGCATGAATAGTAGTGCGAAAACGAACTTAGTTCTTCCCAATGAGAAATAACATGGTCATTAGAGATTTAGAGGTTGGGTTTCAGGTTGGGATTAGTTACTAGTAGTGTTTGTGTAATTAGTGACGTGAATTGAATAAAGAGTTTGTGTTTCGAGTGACAAATATAATGACTTCTTAGTGACCTGCACGTTGTCAATAGTACCTAATAGTGGTTTGCTAGTGACATGCAAATAATTAATAGTAACTAATAGTTGGTAGTATGTATGTGATATGTGATCTGCACGTCACTAAAAGTACGAGTGTGATCAGTGATTTGCTAGTGACCTGCAAACAATTAATTGTAACTAATACGGAGTAGTTGGCACTTGGTAGTAATAGTGATGTGCTAGTGACCTGCTAATAATCAATAGTAACTAATAGTGCCTGAGTTTAGGAGTTTAGTGACCTGTAAGTAATAATGAGTTGTGATAAGATTAGTTACATACATAAAAAAACGCGTTGTTAATGCGCTTCACGTAGGCATGAGTAAACATATATGACAGGTTGTTTGAGTACGTAGTTAACACACATCATACAATTGTTTATAATATATTAAGTAGTACGTATTAGTTTATGAAACACGTGTGGGAAAAAGTCATAAGACTGGAGTAACATGAGTGGATGCTAACATGATCTTTTATGTTTGTTGTTTGTAATTTAATTAAGGCCGGTAGCAGGAAACATACAAAATGGAGCAATTGTTGGTAACTTTGTTGTTTGATGGGAGATGGACTGCTGAAAATAGGTTTTCTGCTAAGTCCTCAGGTGGACTACTGCTTGAAGAGAATTCATCATGTCAATCGCTTTTACACAGAATTAGGAGTTCTTTGGGTATTAGTCAGGATGTTGAAATCACGTCTGTGTCCTACCAAATCGATAAAGCGTTTCCACCTACTATTATTGACAGTGAAGAAAGTTTGCAATTTTACGTTTGCTTAAAAAAAGGAAAAAAAATGATCTTTCTTCATACCCAATGTGTGTGCAAGTAAAAAAGAGTCGGGCTGGAAGTGAATTGGATGCGGCTCGAATACCGGCTGGTGTAGGCGTGAACAATAACATCCAATTTGATCTGAATGTAGCAGCCAATGATCTCCATAGAGGTAATAGTAGCAGAGTAAATGGTATGGCGGATGGCGGCCATCATATGTATGCTAGTTGTGAACAGAATAATCCATTACAGGTGGAGAGTAGAGATGTGGCAGTGACTGATGCATGTTATTATGATACATGCAACCAAGGGCACACACCATTGATTTCATGGACGGAAGATGGTGTTAGTACAAAGATGGATGGGATGGACACAACTTTAAGAATGAATGGGATATATCCTAGTAAAGAACATTTGAAGGCAATGTTGCAACTCTATGCAATCCATAACAAATTCCAATTTGAAACGAGAACTTCACATCCTGGAGTTATTCATGTGGTGTGTGTTGATGAAAAGTGCAAATGGGTAGTGAGGGGTGTGCGAATAGGGGATATAGGATGTTATGAAGTTAAAAGGTGATAAAAAGTTACTTAGTGTGTGTATTTATATATGTACGTTGTTTGTTACAACTTGTGTATTACAAATGACTTATATATTTATACTGACATTAAGGAACTTTGTATACAGGTTTGACTCGGTGCACAGTTGCTCCATTGATTGCAGACTTGCTGGAAGTAAACAAGCAACAGCAATAATAATTGGCAAGTTGATTAAACATCAATACATGGATGCATCGCGAAAACCATATCCCCCGAAGGCTATTATGGTTGATCTGAATAGAGAGTTTGGAGTAGATATTAACTACAAAAAAGCATGGAGAGGGAAAGAGAAAGCTTTGACATCGCTCACTGGAACTGATTTTGAGTCGTACCAGAAGTTACCACTTTTGTGTTATATGATTGATAAGACAAATCCGGATTCATTGATATCGTTGGATACGGATGCAGAAGGTAATTTCACATATTTGTTTATGTCACTTGGTGCTTCTAGAAAGGGGTGGGCAGCATGCCGACCTGTTATTAGTGTTGATGGAGCTCATTTGAAAGCAAAATACAAAGGAACCGTATTGTCTGCTTGTGCACTAGATGCCAATAGACAAATATTCCCAATTGCTTTCGGTTTATGTGGAAGAGAAAATAAAGAAACATGGTCATGGTTTTTTTTTACTAAATTGAAAGAGGCAATCGGTGAGAGGGAGGATATGTGTTTTGTTTCGGACAGGAATGAGGGTTTAATAAGTGCAGCCAAGGAAAATTTTCCAAACGTGAATCATGGCCATTGCGTGCAGCATCTCCTTGGAAATATTATATCAAAGTATGGTGGGAAAAAGGATAGAGTGACATGTTTTTTTAATGGTGTTGCACGGGCTCCTACAGAGCAAATGTGGCAATATTATATGAAATTGCTTGATGCGGAGGATCCTCGAATACGTCATTATTCGGCAGAAATTGGGGAGAGGAAATGGGCAAGGTGGAGGATTGAAAGACGGCGGTATTCAATAGTTACCTCAAATAATGCAGAGACATTAAACTCTATTGTTGGAATAGCTAGGGAATATCCTATAGCAATGTTGGTTGAGTTTCTTAGAACAAAAATGCAATCGTGGTTTCAAGCTAGAGGAGAACTAGCCAATAGTCAGCAATCCAAGTTGTCCCCGGCAGCGGAGTTAGTGCTAGTCAACCTTCTTAGTGACTCTGCCGGAATGATAGTAAGTACAGTATTATTTAATTTCATTTAATTGTAAGAAAAAGGATGCACTATTAATAAGTAACTAGATTTTTTTAAATGAAAATCGGAGGATATATTGTTGTATATGATTTCAGGTTCGACCTTGCACTGCATTTACATTTGAGGTGATCGATAAAAGCTGTAGAGCATATGCGGTTGACCTTGCTAAGCGGAAATGTAGCTGCAGAGAGTTCCAACTAGAAGATTTTGTTTGTGTGCATGCAGTAGCAGCTATACGTAATCGGCCTGGACTTTCTTGTTATGACTACATTTCAACTTACTACAATACAAGTTCATGGCAAGAAACATATAAGTATGGTGTGCCTCCATTAAGTTCATACTCGCCTTATGATGCTCCAGATGGAATTAGAAGTTGGGTTGTGAAACCACCAATATCTGATAAACGTGTAGCGGGGAGACCAAAAAAGAAAAGGATTCCCTCTAGAGGTGAATTTGTTAAAAGGCAAAAATGTGGAAGATGTAAGGAACAAGGTCATAATCAGAAGACATGCAACAATCCAATACCTAGACATCATTGATTTTATTTAGAGTTGTTTTCTGCAGTTACGGTTATTTTTACTTGTAGTGACTAAGTAATCTCATAAATAAGTTTGTTCAACTATGTCAGGTGACGAGATGTTTGGGAAACAATTGTTTTAGATGAGTTGATGATGATTTGAAATTATTTTGGATAATTTGGAGCTGGGCAGTGATTTAAATGTGGAATTATTTGAGACAGTAGTTTGTAGATAATGTCATTAGTGAATGTGCAATATTTTATTTTCAATGGATGATTTCGTTTAACTGAAGTTAAGTGCAGGTACTAATAGCATTTGAGTCCGTGATTATATGTGAAAGTTGGTGACTTGGTAGTAACTATGTGGCGTAGAACTTAGTAATACTACCCCTTGTTCATGAATAATGATTTGTGTAACATTAGTGGCGTGGATGTAATTATATTAGTGCTTTAACAATATGTCTCCAAGTGTTATGGCCATGGTAGTGTGTCGTATGTTATTATTTTCAAATAAAGTTACTTGCAGAACAACGTGAAAAGTAGGAGTTACTTTGTAACTACTATACAAATGGCATTGGTATTTGAACTGCATGAATTTTATTCATCTTAAATTGCCTTTGAAATAGTAGCAGACCAGCAATACTTAATATATATAAAAACATATTCTTGCAAAAGTATCAAGAATAGCACTAGTACGAATCTAGGGAAATAAACAAAAATTCTTGATCTTCATTGCAAACAAAAACAAGTCATTAATAAGTATAGTTCTAAATGTATTTGCGTCTAGCCCGTTCTGAACCATAAGTGAAGAGATCATGAGCCCATTTTGCGCGATAGTCAGGAATCTTCATAGGTAGCAAAGAACTTATATTGATGCCCATTTGAAGTAATTCAGCCAGCTTCAGCAAAAAGACACCGCAATCGCCACTGAAAAAAAAAACAAAAATGAGCATATGTAAGGCACAAGAATAGATAGAGGTAAAAGTGAACAATTACCTGTTCACTTGTTGAGGGACACCGCGAACCATCTCAATATCATAAGGGGAAATTTGTGAAGTCACACTAGTGTTAGAGACAGATTGCTTAATTGATAATAGTATCGGAAGATAATTAATCATGCCTCGCAACTCGTGTAAAAACTTTTTGGTCGGGGCATATCTTCTGTTATTAGAATCATACACACGTAAGATACGGTCACGAACATCCAACACTACTAACAACCAATGCGTGTTGGGCATATTAAGGGGAATGTAGACGTAGTCAGATGCCAACCATGGTAACAGATACATAGTTGGATCACCATCTACGTTGTCCTCGAAGAACCCGTCGTACGCTGATTTTGTTGGATTAGTGAAGCCTGTGGCGTATGCATCAAATAATGTGTTGAGATGGCTTGCAAACGTCGGCTCAGCAGTTGACAACTTTTGAGTATAGTTTAAGGAGGCAGCCTTCATGCGGAGGTAAAACATTATCACGATTATATGCTACACACAAAAAAAAAATAACTGGTTAGTTATGAAGTTGTAAAATATGGACACATATAACATAACATTAAAGTAAGAAAATGTGAGGGGTTACAGTTGAATCGAGGCACTGCCCTGATTGATAGAGCTTGTAGAGCCACGTCTTTGATTCTATCTCCATTCCGGGGTCTAGATCTAGATAAAAATTGGCGTCAGTAGCAGGGCTATACTTTGCACCATTTGTGTTTTCACGGTGGTCTTTCGCAATGCCTTGCATGATGAATTTTTGGAAGTTAACTCGCTCTGAAATTGACTTGAAGCCCGCAAATGGATCAGCACTTATAGGAAAAGCATTGGGCATAGTAATGGTTTTTTTATTCTTTTTGATAGCATCGGATCCAGGGGTATAGCGGCAAGGTTGGACTGCTTTTCGTTTAGGCATGTGCTCTTGATCGTCAGTGACATCGACTACCACAACAGAATCCATGCCATTCTGAATGAGTAAAAATATTAAACACGGGTGAACAGTGTAAAAAGATGAATAAAAGTTTATTTGTTGTGTGAGGAAGTAAGATACATATATAGTCACCGCTTCTTCATGTTCAGTATGTGTGGGAAGAGTGACACGTTCAGGCTCGTGAATGGCAATCATAGAACTCTACACAAAAATTAATCATTTATATTTTCAACATAGGAGATATGCATATGTGAACTCAAAGAAGTTATTGAAATTATAGGTTGACTAATAGGCTGAAAAAATAGACCTGTTTGGGATTTTCAGCATGTATCAGGAGATTGGGATCTTCAGAGGACGTTTTGGGGTTGAGTGCTAAACCCTACAGAGTAGTTAAATCAAAGTAAATGGAGTCGTATTGCTAAATATTAAGTGAGTATGAAAATGGTTAGTTAGTAACATATTAAAAGGGAGAATACCAAAAAATAAGTCAACCAAATAGATAAGAGACATTATTAGACTATATGAGGGAGTATGGCAAAGGGTAACAAAATGAAGAATATATACAAATGCATAACAGAGAAATTAGAAGTTACCTCGAGGTGTTGTTGGACAACGTCCAGTGAAAGAAAACCACTTTGTGGGACAGAGACACCATTTGCATTGAACTCTGAAGGCTACAAGTATGAAGAGGCAAATAAATTGGTTTCAGTCACTGAGCAAGGATAGTCAATAGCATAATCTACTGAAAATATTAAAAGATAAACAGAATTACATACATTTGCCTCAAGCATATCGTAAGCAAGATTAATGAATTGTGTCGGCTGATGAGTGTTTTTCTCGCACTTAGAATAGTTGTAGAAAAGTGGTGGAAAGTACGAGTATCGTCTCCACAGGGACGGACAAAAGGGAAATAAGGATTAACTAAATTCAACGATTAAAAAGGAATAAATTAAATAAAATGCAATTGTGCGAGATTGGTTGATTGATTAAAATAAAATTAATGCTAATGAGCAAATAAAAAGATTTGGTTTTCCTTAATTAACGACGAAGGGAACAGGAATTGATTCCGGGGTTAACCAGATTTCTGGCAGAACAGGCCTAATTACATGAATTTAATTTAAATGAGCCTAGCTAATCATTACTAAGTTCTTACCGCTCTCGCGGCGTAGAGTACAATAATTTAGGGGTCCAGGTTGATCTCTCATGCGACAAGATCCTAAATTATTGCCAAAACGAGCGAGCTTACTGTCACGCCCCGGACCTCCCCGGACACATCGACAATCCGCCGTACAATACGAATAGTCAACCGCAGTCCAACACATTCATATTATACAAGGCGTCTTGAATATCATTCACACGTATACATCCATAAACAAACATAATAAGTAATTCAAAACGCAGCGGAAAACATTGTTTAAAACAAGAAGGCCACACAAGGCATTTGATGAGCACGCAGGCTCTATAGTAAAATATCCATGAGCAAATTTATTTATGTTTCAAATGGAACGGAGGAAGCACGAACCAAGTCTTCTCTCCTAGGAATCACTCGATCAACGAGCACAGGATGCAAACTCTAGCCTCAACCTGAAATGGTGGTGGGACGCCCCCGAAGGGGTCAGTACTCTATACGGCTATAAAGTACTGGTGTGGCAGGCATCTAATAGATATACAACAAGTATTTCACACACAAGACCCTCAAATAGGGTGATAATATAGTTTAGGCTGTAATCCCAAATTACCCCTTCAAAATATATATACTTACTTTATATAAAGTCAAGTAGTCGGCTCAAAGGCCCATGTTTATCACAAAACATTTCCCAAACCCCGTGACTAATGGTCACGACATACATAGGGTCCAACCCTAATATAACTTCTCATTTCTAGAGTTCGGCTCGAGTACATCATCATGCACTCGCATCATAGATCTCCTACTTCATGTAATCATATCATAGATCTCCTACTTCATATAATCACACCATAGATCTCCTACTTCATAAAATCACACCATAGATCTCCTACTTCATAAAACCACACCATAGATCTCCTACTTCATAAAACCACACCATAGATCTCCTACTCCATGATTTCACAATTGACACTTGAATCTCATTCAAGTTCATCACAAACAAACTCAAACCTTGAGTTTGATTCTAACACATTTAGGGCAATCCTTAACTAGCATCACAATACTATTAAAATTATTCCTACAACTCATTTATCATTAATGGTAGCCCCTCCATATCAATAGATATGTGGCAGCCCCCCCCCCCCATGTGTTAAGCATCATCATGCAATTATATATTTACATACACATAACATTCATACATGAGTTGGAAAAGTTAATTTACCATATTAGCATACTTCTATCTCACATGACTCCATATTCATCAATATGGTTTCAATTCATGATCAAGTCCATTACTTATCATTCATATCATGTTCAAGCATATTTATTCACAAAAACATGATTTAAGCATTTAGGTAATCTCATGCATAACCTACAAGTTGTAAGCAACTAGATGTCGGTCCTCACCTCAAATGAGCTTTAAAACTTTCCTTCTCGATCCAATGACCAAAGCCTCGGCCAAGGAAGATTGAGGACTGATTCCTTGCTTGGAATTGAGTGTTAAACCGCCTCTTCAAAGTGCTAGTCCAACTCCTAACCGAAGACACAAAAACAGTCCCTAGAACGGGTGTTTCCCGATGAAATTGTTCCCTAACCTTTCAAGGTTTTGTCTAGATTAGTATCTAACTTTTCCAACAATTAAAGTCACTTTATAATAACATTTTATACACTTCAATCAGTGTATAATAGTTCTTCAATCATTTATATGGTTTAGACAATAGAGAGGAAGGTTTTGGATTCAAACTTACTTTGAATACAAAAACGTATCCTGCGAGGTCGTGTTTTTCTCGGTCGATTTGGAAGCCTTCCACTACTCCGATTGATGCAAACCAGACCTTCACGGATTCCTCGTCTTGAGATCTTTCTGTTGGTATCTCGCACTCCTTATTTGGATGAGTAAATCTCAAGTTATGGCTCAAACAATCAGAGCTACGCACTGAAGAACGAACCTGCGGACTGCTCTCCTCCTTCCTTCTCTCTTGGGTTGTGTGGATTCCCTTGCTCTCTTATCTCTTTGGGGGTTCGAATGGGGTGTAGGGGGAGTGTATTAGGAGACCCTAAACATTCTAAAAGAGTATGTGGCTCACAAAAGAACATGGGAGATATTTGGTTTGCAATCAAATATGGGGTGGACCTCCCCCTTTTGTTTTCTCTTGGAGTTTTTGTGCATGTGAGCCAAGAGTCCGCCCCATATAGTCTTCGTTTCTCACCTCTTTTCATTTGTTTTGCAGGTACTAAGTCCATGTGGAATGGTTCCCAATTGATCCCATTCAACTTGGAGTCCAAAATATCTACCAATACTCCCAAAAATGGGAAGATGGGTCCTATTGTTTTATCTTTTGTCAAAGATGTCATTTTGTACTCATACTAACTTATTTAGAACAAGTCAACTTCATACATCACATTATTGATCTCCAATATGTGTAGGCTCATCTCAATAAATTACTTGATGGATAATATAGAAGGAAAATCCTACTCCCATTATTTAGCTCAATAATGCCAAAGATGAGGTTATAGGCATTTGTATTCTTCTTTAATCCTTCTATCACTTATTTGACATTTGTCATACATATTATTGGGCTACTAGCCGTGTGGGTCACTCCCGAGTGGGTCTAGAGCACCATTCTCGAATACTTGCTATTTTTAGCAGGTTGGGCCCAAAATAATGTTTGGGCCGCCCGACCTTCCTCAAATTGTCTTGAAAGATTATGTAACACTATTTAGGAATTTTGGGCTCTTATGTTCATTAATAAGGCCCGAATAAGTATTTGCAAAACCCGACACTAATATACGAGTTTGAACAGTACGATCTTCAATCATGCACTACGTAAAACATTTGTCGTCTTACAATTGTTTGGAAATCGGAAATTCAATACATAAACTTGAAATTTAAATTGAATTTTCAAGGACGTCTGGGTGCGATGTCACACTTACGGCCCCTTAATCGCTACTAATCTCTTAGCAAACGATTAAGTGTGTGTGAATGTGTCCTAGAACAAATTAGATCTCTCTTAATTCATTCTACATGCAATTGTAATTCTAGTCGCGATTCTAGGTTACAAGAGATATCAGTTAAATTATTCAAGCACAAATTAAACGGCATTCATGCAATTAAATCGACAAGAATCTAGCCATCAATCATGATTAACCCCTTCATCAACCCCAAATCCCTAATTAAACTACTCACGCCTCATAATTGACGAATCAAAAGAATTGGGATGAATAGAATAAATTGTCATTAATTAAAAAATTGAACTTACAAATAATCCCAGGGTCATGGAAGAAAATAGCGTAAAAATGATGTTAAATTCGTCCCTAGGCCTCCTCGTAATGTTCGCAACCCGTAAAAAGGGGTATGGAGGCCTTATTTATAGAAAACAGGAGAATTTGAGCTGAAATAGGACAAAACGGGGCCAGACACGATGCCAGGCACGATCGTGCCTAGGATCGTGCCTACGGAGTACATCGCGCGCTTCGGTTGCAGGCACGATCATGCCTGGCCAGGACACGATCGTGCCTGGCTGGCAGTAGCTCCGCGCCTCAAACCTTCTCCAGGCACGGTCGTGCCTGGTCTTTTCTTCATCATTTTTCTTCGTTTCTTGTTCCGAATGCTCCCGAATGCCTACGAGATTGATCCAAATGCTCTTTCTTCACCAGAATTTCTTATTTTTTTTTTTTTACAAACAACGTAGCGTATTGAAACTTATTCCAGCTTCGAGTCTTATCAACTATTCATGTCTTCTATATAGACTCATGTTTCAGATGATATGTTCACAGTTTGTAGTTTTAATAAATAAAAACTCATCCATTTTTTGACAAAATTATAAACAAATTCAGCACGAATCAATCAAACGAAATGTTAAATTTTATGATTGCAAGTGAATTTATGACTTATAACCAATCATGGTGAATCAAGGAACCAACCCTAATGGCTAATGCGATAAAAAACAATATCTGGAGCCTAAGTAACCCTAGTATTACTATATACTCCGTACGTATTATGTATGTATATTTGGGAAAGAATATTAATTAAACTGGGTGGACAAAACTGAGCATATATGAGTGACTAAGCTACTGAAAATCTGAAATAAGAGATCTATTGAAAATCGCTCTAATTCAATAAGATGGGTGTGAAAATATATGTCACATTCATTTTTGAAAAAAAAAAAATACATTATTTTGGTGGCGTAAAACTTCAATAAACGTCGAAATGCGCTCTAATTCAACAAGACATGCTTTTTCGGGGTGAGATGGCTAAAAGAACATTTCAGTCTTCATATCTTTACACCGTTTTCTTTAATGTGAATCTTAAAATGTTATTAATAGAACTCTAACTTTTTGGTCAATCTTGTTTATTTAAATCTGATCTGATCTTTTAAATGTTTATTCTTTATGTATTTTAAAATCGTCAAATATGATTTGTTCTGATCTATTTGGTCTTGTGTGATCCGGGACAAATCAATCCAATAAAAGCATCCTTAGTCTTTCCTAGCAACAATTGGAGAGCAATAACATACTATGACACTACCAAAATACAAAAAAAAAGTATTTCAGATTTTTCTCAATATCTTATTGAACCAACGATACTCCGTACTATTGTGAAGAGAAAATTAGAGCAAGAAATGATTTACGTGAAAGTTGACAAAGAAAACCTAGTAACTAGTAAGCACTTCAATAGAAGGATGTATTAGACTCAAATAAATAGGTAAATTAGGTCGGCTAGTCTAGGACGTCTGGACGTGTGCCTGGAATCATGGATTCAAATTGTAAGCATGAACTTATTAGGCCTGTACCTAATTTCATAACCTCATGACCCCATCATATATAAATTAAACCTCGTATTATTTGCCTATATTCCTATTTACTCCGTAATTTTCTTTTTCAAGTTTATATTTTTTATTTTTTTAACCCCAGGGACGTGGACCGCTTCCTCTTTATTTCTAGTATATTGTTTATTACCACAAATTTTTGAAATATGATACGTAAAATACATAACTATTCATGATTTTTTCATGATTGTTTATCACCACAAATTTTTGAAATATATGATAACCCGATCCAACCCGGACGGACGGCGGTGGCGTGCCACGTGTGCGTGTGAAGATTTAATTCCACGCTTATCGTATATGGGTCTCATTGCTCAACAAAACTTTGGTATCCTAAGGGGTCAACCCAATAGCAAAGGAAAGCTTATAAAAAGACACCTTCCTTAACTCTCCATTTTCGGTGGGGGACAAATTCTCTTTCGAGACTAGTTTTTAGCGAACTTCAGGAACAATTTTTTTATTCATTTCTATATAGTTTTGCACACTTTAATATATGGTTGCGTTCACCTTTCAGAGTGCTATACGTTAGGACTTGGTCCTACCACAAATTAGTTGTGGATCTCTTATTTATTTTAAGTCAAAAGTGATCATTATATTAAAGTCAAAAACCATTTTTCCAACATTTTCTTCTAATTGTTATGATAAGTGGCTAAATTATGAAGCATTTTCTAGTAACCCGCCAACTTATTCTGCTAGTCAAACTCGTTGACTGAATTCACTATTGATAACTCGCTAACATAAATCCGCTAACAGCTAAATGTCAATCACGTTCTATATAATAGCGTTTTGAAACGCTATATATAACCATACTTGTAGTGAAGAAACATTTTCATATACTTCGTACATTTCACAATGAATATTGCCAAATTAAATTCGAAGTTGATAGGGGCCACGCGGATTGCCCTCCTTCAGCTACGTCAATGGTATTGTGCCCGTCCACATATAAAACTTATGCAATTAATCTTATATTTTTGGAAAATCAGAAAAGGTTTGGTTCTTTTAGATACAACTTAACTCAAGAAAGTTAAATCGCTAACATTATCAACTTGTAGTTTAAAATCTAATTTAAACATTTTATTTAAAATGCTAAAATATTTAGAAAGAAACTTTGTATCTGGAAGCTAAATTTGTGATAAAAAGGAACTACTCCGTAAGTTAAATTGAAGAGAAAAGTATGAAAACTAAACAATGCCTTGTGATCTGTCATCCGAAACTGTGTTTAAGGCTTTGTTTGCAAGTGCTTGTGTTAAAATAAAAGTACTTTTTGGGAAAAGTGATTAGTAGTAAAAATTGACAGTGTTTGGTAAAATAAGTGTTTTTTGTGTAATAGAAAAAGTAAAAAGTAGATTCTACACGAAAGCCGAGAAAGTAAAAGTTGGTAGTGTTTGGTAAAATAAATATTTTTTTCTTTAAAAAAGGCCACAAACACTTAAATTAAGGGCTTGCAAACAGAGCTAGCCTAAAAATTTATTTAGCTTTTTATATGAGTCAATTCCCTAAATAGGACTAAAAAGTGGCAAAATTGCACAAATAGGACTACATTTTTTAAATTCCCTTAATAGGACTATTTATGTGTGTTTAAACAAATATACCCTTGTAACTTGTGAAATGTTTTAATTAATAATAAAATCATAAAAAAATAATAATAATAAAAAAATACTAAAAGTCGAAAAAAAAATAGAAAATTAATAAAAATATTTTTTAGAAAAATTAAAAAAAAAATTTAAAAAAAAATTAAAAAATAAAATAAAATAAAAATCGTAAAATTAAAAAAAAAAATACCACCCCTGCCACCACCAGCTCCCATCACCGGAGAAAAATATGCCAACATTTTAAATAATGTCATAATGATGGCATATTCAATGAAAATGTTGCCATATTGAAGAGTAATTATGCCATCTTTTTGGCATTTTCAGAAAAAGATGGCAGTTTTTTGTTTTATCAAAAGTGGAAGAAATTTCACCAATCGGAGGTGGTGGTGCTGGGAGGCGGCGGGAGGCGGTGGGAAAGGTATCCATAATTTTTTTCATTTTTTATGGGTTTTTACTATTTTTTATTATATTTTAAAAATAATTAAAAAAAAATAAAATAAAATTTTTTATAATTTTTTAAATGGTTTTTTACTATGGTTTTTTTATTTTTTAAATATTTTTTTTTTACGTTTTTTATGATTTTATTATGAATT